GGTTTAGATGTCAACTACTAGGTTTGTAGAATTTTATCCACTCTACCAGTCTATGCCTCTTCAGAGGACAGTTTAATCCATTTACATTTATTGAGAGGATTGAAATTGGAGAAAGATTTCTGTTCATATTGTTGGGTGAGTCTTGATGGGTGAGTAAAAGTCCTGGCGCAGTGTGGGCAAGTGGGGGGTGTCTCACTGGCATGGTCCTGGGGGGTGCTGCTCAGGTTGGCCTGCGGAGGAAGGTGCTTAGGGCACTGAGTGCAGGGTAAGGGGTCCTCCCCAGAGTGGCTACACTGGTGGGTCAGCAACATGTCTTGGCTGAGACTCTTGCCACAGTGGTGGCATAAGAACACCTGTTCCCCATCTGGAGGTGGGATAGGGTAGCTGCCCAACTGAGTAAAAGTCATTTGTCCCTCAGAGGCTTCAGGCAGGTCACTGGCTGGATGCCCAAAAGGTGTCATGGATGCAGATTGCTGGCTTTTGAAAGCCACCTCTGAAAAAACATCCTTTGCTGCTGTTGGTGGTGGAGAAGAGAAGGGGACTGGAACCTCAGGGCACAAGGAAGCTGGAGCAAGGCCTTCAGCTTTGATGACAAGCTCTTCATCAGGATAAGTGGTCTTGTATATGTCACTCTCCTTGGACTCCTGTGGGGCCCCAACCTGAGGCTCTTCCTCTTGTTTAATCCAAGACAGAATATCTGATGCTGAAATAACAGGCTCTTCACTAGGGTCTGTGGGAATCTCACTTTCCTCTGGCCCTGCCTGGTGCTCTGTATTTTGTTCTCCTTCTGGTTGATCTGTGATAAGACATCAGGTTGATTCATAGCATAATCCATGGAGACGAGAGACTCGTAGTTGCCCTTCATGATATTCTTGTAAAGTTCCTTTTGCCATTCTTCTAACTTTTCCCACTCTGGAGTACATATAAAATCACAGAGAAAAATCACAGAGAAAAATACAGAGAAAACAATGAAGGAAGAAATGGCCACAAACACTCTTGATATTATGAAAAACAAAACTCCCTCATCAGCATGGCTGTAAAAGTTCAACACATTTCTAGGTCAACCAAGATATCCTCCAGTAGGTGAATGAATAAATAATCTGTGTTACAGCCATACAATGGAACATTATTCAGTGCTAAGAAGGAATGAGCTATGAAGCAATGAAAAGATGTGGAGGAAACTTAAAAGCATATTACTAAGTGAAAGAAGCCAATCTCAAAAGGTTAGTTACTGTATGATTCCAACCATATGACATTCTCACAAAGGCAACACTCTGGATAAAGCAAGAAGATGAGAGGTTGCTATAGGTTGGGGAGGGGTAGGAAAGCATACATAGGCAGAACACAGAGGATTTTTACAGCAGTGAAATACTATGTATGATACTATAACGATGGATATATGGCATTATAGCTTTGTCGAAACTCATAGAATGTACTACACAAGAGTGAACCCTAACAAAAACTATGGCTCTGGGTGATTATGGTGTGCCCATGTAGATTCACTGATCACTATTAACTGTACCATCATGGTGAGGGATGTTGATGATGGAGGAGGCCATCCATGCATGGGGTTACAGGGATACAGAAAATCTCTGTATCTTCTTGTCTATTTTTCTGTAAAACTAAGTGCTCTAAAAAAACAAGTGTTTAAAAAACATCCTCAACAAAACTTCAGCAAATCAAATACAATAGTATATTGAAAGGATAATACATCATGAACAAATGGGATTTATCCTAGGAACGCAGGCTTGGTTTAACATTAAAAATCACTGTTATTCACCACATTAAGAAACAAAAAGAGAGGAATCATATGATCATCTCAGTAGATGGAGGAACTTGATAAAATTCAACATTCATTGCTGATAAAAAACAAACAAACCAACAAAAACTCTTTGCAAACTAAGAATACAAGGGAACGTCTTCAGCATGATAAACAGCATCTGTGAGAAATCTACAGCTAACCCATGTCTCATGGTAAAAAGGTGAATGCTTTCCCCAGAAGATCAGGAACAACACAGGTATGTCTGCTTTCACTGCTTTGATTCAGCATCAAAGATGAAACCAATAAAACAGAAAAAAAAATCCTAACAAGTACCACCAGGCAAGAGCAAGAAATAAAAGGCATCTAGGTTGGAAGGAAGAAGTAACAATACCCATATTCATAGCCATGATCACATAATATGGGTGGTAAACCACAATTTGTGGGCAGCTTTTGTAAGTAAAGTTTTATTGGAGCACAGCTCTGTTCAGTAATTAATGTATTGTCTATGGCTGCTGTCATGCTATAATGGCAGAGTTGATTAGTTCCAGCAGAGAACACTTGGCCTTAAATCCAAAATATTTACTGTCTATGATAAGACAGCAGTTTGAGAAGAAACATCTTGACAGCCTATGAAGAAAGCCTGATCGAATCCACCTAAATAGCTACTAGAACTAACAAGCGAGTTTAGAAATGTCAGAGAAAGCATAATCAACAATTCAAAAATCAACAAGTGACCAAATCAAAACTTTAAAAATATCATTCACAATGTCATCAAAAATGAAATATACATCTTACACACTAAAAACTATAAAATGTCACTCAGAAAATTAAATACAACCTATATAAATGGAGAGGTACATTCTGTTCCAGAGTGGAAAGATTCACTATTGTTACGATCATAATTCTCCCCAAATTAATGTACTGGTTCAACACAATCCCTCTCTAATTCCCATCAGGCCAGCAGATGTTTTCTTTTGTTTGTGTTTAATTGACAAGAAGACTCTTAAATTCATATGGAAATGCAAAGGATCTGGAACAGCCAAAATAACCCTGAAAAAAACAATAACTTAGAGGGCTGAATTCAAGATAATTATAAATCTAATCAAAGCAGCCTGATACTAATACAGGCTGAGAATCTGCTATCCAAAATAGTTGGGATTAGAAGTGCTTTGGATTTGGGTTTTCATTGGATCTGGAATATTTGCATATACATAATAAGATATTGTGGGGATGGACTCCAAGTCTAAACACAACGTATGTTTCAGAAACACCTTATACACATAGACTGAAGGTAATTTCATACAATACATTCAGTAATGTTGTGCATAAAACAAAGTTGGCACACATGAGGTAGTGTGTGGAATTTTCCATTTGTGGCATCAGGTTGGCACTCAAGAACTTTCATATTTTAGAGTCTCTCAGATTTGAAATTTTTGGGTTAGAAATGTTTAGGCTGTATAAAGAAAGCCAAACACAGTCCTCTTAATTTACAACGGTTTAAACTTATGATTTTTCAACTTTATAGTGGGTTTACCAGGGTATTAAATGGACTTGCAACTTATGATAGGTTCATCAGAATGTAACCCTATTGTAATTTGAGGAGATCTGTAAGTCAGTACAGAACAGCAGAGAGTTCACAAACAGATTCACAAATATACAAGCCAACTTATTTTTGACAAAGGCACGATGGCAATGCAGTGAAGAGGGGCAGCCTTTTCAGCATATGGTGCTATGGCAAGCAAATACCCACAACCAAAAATGAACTCAAACTGGATCACACATTAAGTTTAAATGTAAACCTAAATCTTCAAAACTTCTAGAGGATAGTATAGGAGAAAGTCTTTGTGACCTTGTACTAGGCAAAGATTTCTTAGATATGATATAAAAATCAAAACCCAAAATTGAATAAGCAGATAAGGTGGACTTCATACAAACTAAAAACTTCTGCTCTTCAAAAGACACCATCCACATATTATGAGAATGAATTGTCAAGCCACACACTGGGGTAAAATCTTTGCAAAAAACATAGCTAATAAAGTAATAATATCCAAAATATATAAAGAATTCCTAAAACTTGACAAATAAGACAAAACAAACCAACTTTTTAAAAATTTTATTTAAATTTTTTTTATTTCGGCATATTATGGGGGTACAAATGTTAAAGTTATGTATATTGCTCATGCCTCCCCTCCCCCTCGAGTCAGAGCATCAAGCGTGACCATCCTCCAAATGTTGCACATCTTTTTAAATCGCAGAAGACTTGAGAAGACAGTTCACAAAGAAGATGTACAGATGGCATATAAGCACATGGAAAGATATTCGACATTACTAATAATAGGGTCATTGATACACATCAACACCATAATGACATGCACAATACATACTCTTCAGAATAGATACAAATAAAACAGAAAAAATTGGCCAAAAAATAGTGTTTTTCACAATACAGGATAAATGGAACTGTCAGATACTGCTGATGGGAATGGAGAATGACAGAAACACTTTGGAAAACAATTTTGTAGCTTCTTAATAAGGGAATTTAAAGGGGCCTAAGGAGCCTTTTGTGGATAATGGATGGTAACTATAATATCTTGATTATAGTGATGGCTTCACATGTATAAATCTATGTTAAAACTCACCAAATTGTACATTTCATCTAAGTACAGGATATCACATATCAATTACATCTCACTAAAGCTACTGATTGCAGGAACAAACATCTAAGACAGTAAGACACAGAGAGAAAAGGTATGAAATGATGAAATGAGATGCAGGATAACACTAGAGGATTTAGATGTTTAACCTTAAGTGATAGCTGGCTTTTAAGCAAAGGAATACTATGATCAGATCTCAATTCTTCAAAATATATAATTATGGGTGCAGAGCAGACCATAGTTTCGACAGGTGAGGTAGCAGGGAAAACAGTTCTAAGGTGATTGCACTATTCCAGCTGGGAGATACTGGTAACCTGGCTTTGGCTAAATGAATAGGAGAGAAGTAGAGGAAACAAAAAGACTGGAGTACCATTCACACTGAGAAAAGTACAGTGGAATTACCACAGCCCTTTGGCTGAAAGTGTACAGTACACAATAGTCCTCATTCTATTTTAATATAAAGCATATTTCTGAGATTAACATCACTGTAACACACAAGTGCTCTATGATGCAGTGCTCAGCAATGTGTCCCCATGTTACTGTAGCAGACATAAGAAGGCCTTATATTTATACAATGATCCTACCTTTACAATCCTTTCCAAGTTGTTTGATGAGCAGCATAAACTGCTTATAATCAGAGTAAGGCAACTCACCATCCTCTGGGGCTATTGCAGATGATCCAGTTAAGTCATCAATATCATCCACAGAATGTATTTTGTGTTTGACCTATAACACAAATAACACTGTTTCAAAATGTCTGCAAATTATTTAGAACTGTGGTCCCTAACCCCCAGGCCACAGCCTAGTACTGGTCCGTGGCCTGTTAGGAACCAGCAGGAAGGCCTGAGCCCCCCTGCCCCAGGCCACCACCGCCCTCCTCCCCTACCTGTCCACTGCCCCCCTGTTTCCCATCAGTGGAAATATTGTCTTCCATCAAACCGGCCCCTGCTGCCAAAAAGGTTGGGGACCATTGATTTAGAGCATATATAAATGTACAGAAGTGCTAATTATACAAGTTTTTATATGAGCAAAAGTACAGATACTTCTTAAAAAAAGATTTTCATTCAAAGGATACCTTTATCAGTGGCTACTGTTTTTTACTCATTTCTTCAAAGTAAACATCTTTACAATAAGAGTCTCTATTTTTTCTTTACCTTTCATAAAGTATCTTTAACAACCATAATTCTGATAATTTATATTTGCCAATACCTTGTTCTTTTTGTTAGATGTTTTCATTGGTGGCCTAGAAAAAAAAATTCCTTTAAGGCAAACAGTAAATATATAAAATACAAAGTATATCTTAATTATATTTTCAGATAAAATATCTGCATTTTCCATTTCCTTCTCATATTTATAATGTTTATAAGTATTTTTTTGTAGGTAATGTAAAGTGCTAGAATTTTCTACAAGGGGCATTAAGCTCTAAACAGAGTAACACTAAGAGACAAAGAACATATTCTAATAAAATAACACAGAATAAAATTTAGATCAACCTTTCTGACAGACAATGTAAAAGGAAAAATGTGTTACTTGCATTATTTGACAGAAAGAAATATGCCAGGTAATTCTTTTCGGTGTTGTTATCATTGTTCTTTCCAAGAATAATAAGCTTTTCCTGGCATTCAAACTTATTTGGAAAATGTTACTTACGTCCTTCTATGAGGGAAACCCTTTTATAATGATGTTATTGGTGAGCTCTATCAGGAGTACAATGCAGTATCATGCATAATTCTAAGCACTGCACATGTCTTAAACTCATTTTCTGCCACACAACAATTCTGTGAGGGATGTACAACATTAGGTATTTTATAAAGGAAGAAAGTAGGCACAGAAAGGCCATGGAACTTGCTCAGAAGTATACACAGTTCGTCAGTAGTATTCAAACTTAAGAATTCTGCTGCAAAGAAGGTGTTTCACCTAATGCTGTGAAAGTAATATTTATTTTCAAGTGGTATGACAGGAGATGAATCCATTTATCATTCTATTTCTGGCTATAATCACATATAATAATTTCTGAATCTTACAAATATTTTTATTAATAAAAAGACTTTATACAAAGGCTATTTTGGAAGCCTACTTTCAATAAAGTAAAGATGTCTGAAGAAATTCACCAACAGGTATTCCTTCATCTATTCAACTCTTTATTCATACTTTCAACAAACACAAACTGAGCACATAATATCAAGGACACTGCTGGTCCAGGGAAACATCCATTTCTACTTTAGAACTTTATAATCCCAATGTAATGGTCTGTGATACACTGTCAATAGTTTGATCTTCTATTATACATAAACAAAATCCTCCTCTTCCCCCCACAATTTAATAATTATAAAGTTGATATACCTGATATTTTAGAGTGCATTACCAAATCACATCTACTACTGATGCTACTGGCAATGGTACTGTAATATGTACAGTCCTCAAGGAATGCTTACACTCTATTCAGGATGGCCTGATGGTTTGTATGCTTATTATTAATTGTACATAATTTTTAAAATATCTATCTATGATCATTTAAATTTTAGGACATCATTTGCATATTCAACCAACTCTGAAAGAACAACCTCTTATCATAAAACTATACATGAATAGAAGTTATAAGGACAATTAGTTTGCTAGAAATCTTTAAAACATAATGTATCAAAATTTCTAATGCTTACACCTGGAAACAAAACTTAAACTTCACAAACATGTCCTTCTCCACTGGATCATTCCCAACAGCAGATACTCTAAAAGCTTCTATTTTAAAACACACAAAGAAAGAAACCTCCCTTGAACCCCGCTTTCTTCTTCAGTGATCACCTATTTCTCCGTTGCCTTTCCCAGTAAAGTTTTCTCAGGAGTCATCTAAGCTCATCCACTACAGGCAAGGGTTCCTGGTGACCAGTATTGAAACTGCTCCTTGTCCTAGTTACTTATGATCTTCATCAAGTTCAACAGCACTGACATATTGAGTATGCTCTAGCTTTGGCAGACTATACTACTCTATTTCCCAGTGAAAATGTAATCACTGTTAACATTCCTTCACAAAGAAATAAAGAACTCAGAGGTTTTACCTTCCTTCATCCTGTTCTATTTCACATAAACTGCTGTCATCATTTGCTGGAAGCAGACCACCAGTTAGTAATTTGGGCTTCTCAAACATCGCTGTCATTGCAGATTTGTTTGAGATCCGTTTTTCATTTCCATTCTTCTTTACTTCCTTTATATGCAATGCAGAACCACTACTTTAAGAAACACATAAAAACCCAGTATTTTTTAATAATTCTACTGAAAGAGATAAAAAGACAATCTCCATTACAATTCGTTCACTTATTAATTCAAAAACTGTTGTGAAATACCCACAATCTACAAGGCAATGTATATTCCCTGCTTCAGAATCCAGGTGAACATACAATTATCATACAGGGTGATATGTAAGAGCTCATCTATGAAAAGTTCTATCTGAGCACAAGGAAGCATTCACAGAAGAGGCAAAACAGAAGAGGGGCTCCCCAGGCCAACAGCTGACAGAAAACCATCCTACTTAGAGAACAGAATGTGAGCTCCATAGTGAGGGCACCAAAGTGAGGCCTATGGCATCTAAGTGTTCCCTAGGAACTAGAAAGGAAAAGTGTAAAATACATGGAAGCAAATAATGAGAGATGAATGCTACCCTAAGCCTGAATGATACACTAAAAGCCTGGAACTCATGGCCTACAAGCAATGATTCTTTGACATGAAAATAATATAGCATGTCAATGACTCTTTGACATGAAAATAAATGTAGCAGTCCGATTACTGCTATATTTTGGGTATTGCTTTTAAATATGATAATTTTTCATTTAAATGAAGTTGATAAAATAGGATGAGGCACATATGACATGAATGTAAGAAGAAATTGTGAAAATATCTTTGGGGGGAAAACCTAACTTCTAAAATACTTACTTGTCATTATATATAATAATAAAATATTCAAAAATAATAATATTGTGATGAATTAAGAGTTTATTTGAAAAAAATAATTCAGTAACTGTTGTAAACTTTCAGCCTCCTATAGCATACCAGGAGAAAACTGCAATTATTTTTTTTATGCTGTAAACACCTGCATAAGAATATCACTATTATATATCTACATAAATTTATAAAGAGGCAACAATTTCCTCTCCCACAGCAGATTACATAAGGGGTGGAGCATTAGTACCTAAAAATATCAAAAACATAAACAAAACTAATAATTATGTATTAAAAGAAAATTATCTAGATAATTATTCTGGATAAGACTAAGCATCTAAAAAATGGTAGATCATCCTGAGAGCAATTATCAAAAAATTCCTCTTGGCTCAACATTTAAAAGTAAGTCTACAATTCCACAATAAAAAAGTTTTCCATTTTGAACATAGTTGAAAGAAGGCAAGTTTAAACAGAAAACACCTGATGAAAGTTGCCTTAGAAGTAGAGTAGGACTGATCTGTAGCCATGGCAACAAGTAGCCACCCACAACCAGTTTAAACTCAGTCAATCAATCAATGACCACTGATCTCACTCACCAGCCACTCAATATCAGCCCTTGCTTTTGAGAGACAGCCAAGCAGACACAAACTAATTCCAACAAACATGTCTGAAGGGCCAATCAATCAACAACAGTGTCACTCAGATAATCATGTTGCTAGGTTATGACATCAACCCACTTATGCCTCTGAACATCTGCCAATCCTTGACTCCACTCTTCCCCAAACCCTGTATAGAAGGTCAACAGCTGCTTTGTCAGAAGTCACTATGTCTGACTAGCAAAGCTCTCTTTCACAGTCTTGTCTTTTTATTTCATATATTGAAAGCTCATCATCCTTTGGAAAGAATTCTTTAAGTCCCTTAAATTTACCTCCCTTATGTTTTACTCTTCTTAATAAAATACAAACATAGTTTGCTATTCCTTTGATCTATCTTACCATATTGCAAATTGTCATAATTACCAGTAAAAGAATAAGTAGTGAGTAATCACAATATTGGGCTTTTCTCCTAAGTGGAAAAAGAGTAATATAGAGAATATAGAAAGACCTAAAAGGATCCAAAAAATGTAGTTGCCAGGTAAAATTGTCACAATGAACCCAGGTCAAACTTCTTTTTTTAAGTGAGAATTAGTCTAGTGTGTAAAACAACACACTCACACACAGTAAACTCCACCCTCTCATTTACTAAGTATGTACTGAACAGCCACTTGCTCCCTTCTGGGCCCCTTCCTAGACACCTAGGAGATGGCAGTGAGCAAACATCCTACTCATGCGAGTGAAGTGAACACACAGTAACAGTAAAAGAACAGAAAGACAAATGTATAGCATGCTACAGGAGAAAAACTAAAGCAGGAAAAATGAAATGCTTAAGTGTTGGAGAGGTGCGCTGGTGGAAATATGAGGATGGCCAGAAAAGGCCTTGCTGAGAAATCTGTTTTAAGGAAAGAAGTGAAGGAACAGAAGGAGCAGCCAGGAGGCTGTCTGAGGGAAAAGCTTTCCAGACACAGGGAACCACAAGTACAGAGGTGTGCCTGGAGTGTGTTAAGGGAGACCAAGAGGGTCCATGCGGCTGCAGCAGAGCGACAGGGGTAGAAAAATAGAATATTAAGTCAGGGGGACAATAGGTCACATTATGTACTGCCTTTTAGGCATCAGAAGAACTGTGACATACACTCTCAATTCAGAGGGGAGCCAATTCAGAGGTTTTGAGCAGAGCAATGACCTAACCTGACTTAAGATTTCACAGCTACACTGGATTAAGCTGGAAAAAGGATTAAAATCAGAAAAGGAAAAAGAAAAAAACCAAGAAGACCAATTAGTAGTCTCTTATTCTCACCTAGACAGCAGGTGGTGGTGGCTGGAACATGGAAGATATGATAGCTTCTGGTAATATTTTGAAGGTAGACATGAAATGATTCACAGATAAATTGGATGTGAGGTATCAGAAAGAGAGAGAGAGACAGGATGTGTCTAGAATGATACCAAAGTTTTTGGAAGAGAAACTGGAAGAGCTACCATTAACTCAAGTAGGAGTGACTACCCAAGGGGCAGGTATGAGCAAGAACATCAGTAGCTCTATTTTGGACCTGATAAGTTTGCGACATCCTGTAGCTAACCAAAGAGCGATGTCAGATAGGCAGTTTGGTATATCAGTCTGGAATTAAAGAAAGAGCTCTCCCCTGGACATAGAAACATAGAAATCATTATCATATATAAGGAAGTAAGTGTCCTGAGAAAGAAGGTACAGGACTGAGCCCTGGGACACTTCAATGTAACAAGGTGGGGGCTGAGGACAAGCACACAAAACAAGCTAAGACGGACAGACCAGAGAGGTAGGAGGAAAATCCAGGTGAATGAGTGGCATCCTGAAAGGCAAGTGATGAAAGTGTTATGAAGTAGAGAGTCTTCCATTGGGACAAATATTGCTGATAGGTGTAAGAAATTACACATCCAGATTTATTAAAGTGAAACTCAGGGGTAAGCATAAGGAAAACTATTTTAGAGGAGTGGTGAGAGGGAAAATTACAGGAGTTTAAGAGTAAATGGAATGGAAATTTGAGTCCATGACTGTACATAGCTCTTTTAAGGACATCATATCTTGTGTAGCTGTAGTTTTCAATCCTTATATAATCATTATATAGCATATTTTAACACTTTTATTAAAGTTTTTTAAAAGTTATATACATATAGCATTGCTTAAAATGCCAGATAAACTAAAAAAAATTTAGAACTATAAGACCCCTTGAATGCTTCTAGATACTAGAAAGCTGGTTATCATTTTGCTCATGCTTATAAACAAAGACCACAGAAAGACTAAAAGTTGCAAGGGCAGTATTTCTTTCTTGATAAAAATCACCCAACTCTAGGATATTTTATATTTTTCAAAATATAGAGCAATCATACATATTACAATACTGAATTCAATCACAGGGAAAAAAGATGATGAATGCAGAAAATAATCTCATTTTGTAAATTGAATATCTGCATATTATATAATATGAACTCACAGTTGAAAACTCAAGAGTGGAACATACTGAAATGCATTATCTTTTAAAAGGAAGGATAATGGCATGCATGCAGGTACCCTTAAAAGGAAGACTGATGGCATTACTATTACAAACCACAAGTCCTTGATTTTAGCACAGGGGTCAGCAAATTAGTGCTCATGGGCCAAATCCAGCCCACGGCATGTTTTTCTTAAGTTAACCTTTTATTATAACATAGCCACACCTAGTTGCTTATTGTCTATGACAGATTGTAGACTATAACAACAGAGATCCTATGATTCACAATCTCTAAAATATTTACTATCTGGCTCCTTTCAGAAAGAGTTGGCCAACCATTTCAGTATTTTACCCCAAATACTGAAATGTTTGTATGGAATATGTACCTCATCTGCAATCCCTTGACGATATTCAAATTAATTTGAGGGTTTGATATGTGAGAACTCATGCACTGAGAACAAAAAACAATAAAATTTAATACCTAACAATTTTGTTGGAAACAAAGAAGAGTGCCAATGTAGCTTCCTTTCCCTCCTCAGCACATACTGTAGGAATTCTAACACAATTTGCTTAAGGTGTATCATGAATTAAATGCTTTAAATATATATTGTGAAATAATCAGTACACTATAGATCTAACCTCATTTTTAAATGGTTGCATACTACATTGTTTTATGGGTATGAGCATCTATTTCCTTATTGACGGATATTTAGACTATCTCCAACTTTTAATATGATGATGCTATAGTAATATACTCTTTATATCATATATTTTATACATATATTGACTGGTTGTTTATTAGATATAATATAGAATAAATGTCCTTAACGTGTGTTTGTGTATGTGCGTGTGTGTTTTTTATATGTCTTCCTGTAGAACCTAGTCACAGAATTGAAGCTGTTAGGTTAAAGGAGTGACGTATTTGAAATTTTGATACATGCTACTAAATTATCCTTCAAAAAAAAGGTACCAATTTCATTTACCAACAGGATATGGGAATGCCTTTTTCCTCACATTTGTCAAAACTGCTTATTTTTTTAAAATAAAATATCACTATGATTGGAATTAATAGCAACTCATTATTTGTTAATTTGCATTTTTCTTATTATCAGGCAAAGCTAAATATTACTAGCAAAATGCAAAATTTGTTAATCAAGAATATTAGCCCAAATTAGAATTCACTTTGTGGTACAATAATAATTGTCTCCTGTAAATAGTGCCACAGGCTTACCTATCACACTCCTTGTCCTCCTTCCTAAGGAAGTGCTGAGGACCAGTTCTGCCCCTCTTTCTCTGTTCAAACGATCCTTCATTGTCACTGATGTTAGCAGCACCAGTGTATAGGTTTTCTGATACTTCCATTTCATTACTTTTGTGCTCCTTCCTTCCTTCTTCAACCTTTAATGAAAGTTTCTTACTAAGAATAATTGTTATTACTTTATTCAATAAAAATAACCTTTTGCTTTCCTTGATTATATTGCTTGACCCAGTTTGTCATAATTTTAGTCATAAAAATACTTGGTGCTTACTTTCATTTTATTACCATATATAATCACTACACAATTATAATATGATCTCATCATTGAAATTTTAGTAAAGTCAGCTTCATTTCTGCTTGAGAAAACAGAATTTTCCACAATTACAAACAGGACCCTCTTTTTTTTTTTTTTTTTTTGAGACAGAGTCTCGCTTTGTTGTCCAGGCTAGAGTGAGTGCCGTGGCGTCAGCCTAGTTCACAGCAACCTCAAACTCCTGGGCTCGAGCGATCCTTCTGCCTCAGCCTCCCGAGTAGCTGGGACTACAGGCATGCGCCACCACGCCCGGCTAATTTTTTTTATATATATATCAGTTGGCCAATTAATTTCTTTCTATTTATAGTAGAGATGGGGTCTCGCTCTTGCTCAGGCTGGTTTTGAACTCCTGACCTTGAGCAATCCACCCGCCTCGGCCTCCCAAGAGCTAGGATTACAGGCGTGAGCCACTGCGCCCAGCCTAGGACCCTCTTAATTTTGTACTTTTATTCCCATCCACCCTTCAGTACCTCATATGAATTTTCACCACATTTCACTGGCAGAAACTGAGAAATAAAAAGTCACAAAATGTGTCTTCTGTCACTATCACCTCTATTTTCCACTAAACAGCCACATTTAGAGAATGTGACCTTGTGGGGCTTCATGAAGACAAGGAAGCTTTCCCCTTTCTGCACTCTGCTATTCTTTCCCCCACTGCCTTTTATCATTCTATGCTCATTTGGATCCTGGGATATCAAAAAAGTGATGGTGCTCACTGAAATATATCAGCCAAGTTTCTCACAACACAAGGGAAGAGTGTAACTACTGGGTTGCTAGTGTGGAATTCTGGAAAATGAGATGCTCCCCAAATTCCACATTCAATAAACATAAAATTTTATGGCTGAAGAATGTATAGAATGAATGATTATCTGCTTCACCTCCCTTATCTACTCATAATGGGAGTAAAACCAAGAAAGATGAAATGATTCCTCCCAAACTCCTAAAATGGTATTACCTAGCATTTTATGGCACCAAAAGAGATGATGCAATGCCATCATGCTGAGTCACATAAATTACTAGAAAAATTCATCAAACTTGTCGATAAATTAAAGGTGTGACTTTGTCAAAGTAATTTAATGCCTTGGAGGTAAAGGGGTGGAGTGGGAGGCCTCTTCTACTTTTACTTTTAAAGAAGAATGTCTCCAGATTTTTGTCTATCTCTGAAACTCAATGTAGAGAACTCAGCTTTCTACTCTGGAGGCAAATACTAAATTTTTGGTTGAGCATTTATGCTACTTATATGATAAAATTATATATGAAAAATCTGACCATATTTCATTAAACAACTTAATATAAAGTTCTGATTCAACAGAAACATTTGAGAATGACAATTTTAAAATAAATATGTGGAAGTATGTGTATTTATTGTCAAAAATATTTAAAATGGTCATGATGGAATTACAAGCTCCAAGTTTGACTTAAACTGATCAATTTGTACACATAGAAGCACATTCAGACATTCATTGGGCTGGCCATATTTGTTGCAACTCTCCAGGTTAGATACATTTGTATCTTTTCTCAGTCACTGCTTCTTTCCCAATGTATCCCCATTGTATTCCTTCCATGAATGCAATTCATCTTTCAGTCAGTAGGGGAGCCCTAGAGCTTATTATTAATAGACAGTTTTATCAATTTTCTTTATGCTTATCCTGGTGTAGGTGGTCACATGGTATACCGCTAAATTATTAGCAGTTTCCCAGTCTTTATGTCATGTGGAAGACTGATAGAAGGAGTTAGGTTGATGAAGAATTAATGATTTTGAGAAACTTTTCCTGAAATCTAATCATGTACATAGCAGAAATAATCTATTTCTACACACAATTACATATATGGAAAACCCTATTTTACACATGACCTTTTCATAAGTAGAAAATCAAAATGGATCAATAACTGATCAAGAGAAAAAACAAAGAGTAGCAGTAAGTGAACTCCTACCTCTTTTTCAAGCAGAACTTTTTCTTTCTCCACAGCCAGGAATTCTACTTGTAACATGTCTACCTCATTCTTAAACTTTTGCATATCTTGCTGTAATTCTTCTTTTAGATATACTTTTGATGCTCTGTCACTATGTGGTGAAGAACTCAAATTTTTATGATATGAACCTATGAAGTCACAACATTTTGTATGACATTAAATTACACGCATGGATAGCTGACCATATCTGCTCATATTCCTCTATGGTAGGCAAAACGGAGCTCTGCAGGATCACGGGCCTCAACCATCAATGCCTTCCCAACAGGAAGAGGACAGGAAGATGGGAAACCTTTGCTCTACTTCTCTGTCAGGTTTTGACACTTGATGCTCACTTTATATTCTTCCCACCTTTCTATTCCCCTGTTCTTCCATTTTCTGAAGAATTATTTTATTTGACCACCTTTTTTTACATCCCCCTGCTTCTCCTTCCTTCACGTACTCCCTGTACTCTCTGCTTTCCTCATTCTTCATTCCCTCTTTGACTCCTTGCCTCCTCCTTATTTACTGACTTCCCTCAGGTCTTAGACCATCTTGAAAGGGAATTACTAATTCAGCTCTGTCACTGACATTCTCAATTTCATCTGTTGCTGGCACCTGATAAGATCTGCAATGTATCACCATTTCACTTCTCCTTTCCTTATTATGTATCCTAATAGGTGATTTTCTTTGCCTGTTAGAATATGTCACTGCTCATGTTTTAAAATAAATATTCTCCAAATGACTTTTTTTTTTTTTTTTACGAATATGGTTCTTACCTTCTATTTGTCCATTTACTGTATTTCTTCCTTTTTTATCTACAGTCCCAGATGAAGGAACAACATGCTTCTGTAGAGGATTCTTGGAAATACTCTGTCAAAATTTATACTAATAATGAGTTTCAATAAAAAAATAACAAGAAGTTGCATCAAGATTTTCATCATGTTCTAAAAAAAAAAATGAATCTCCTATTTTAAATCCAGTCAGATCTAAAAGGAGAAACATGAACTCAAAATTAAAACATTTCAATAGAATACTTCATCTATGCTCTCTAGATAAAGTTTCTCTTTCATCTTCATATGGATTTTGACTCTGTAATCCAAGCACAGAATGGCAAAGCAAATAAATTTCTGAAGAAAATATTAACTCGTGAATATTTTAACAAAGAACTAACTTCAAAATGCTTAATTTGACTTTGCATTCCCCACTAAAAAGGTCAATTAAAAATATATATACATAAAACACACTTGTTATAATATATTCAGCATTAAGCATTTAAAATATTTCTAATTCTAGAAACATTTTAGTGTTAGGACAGAACACTGGGCACAATAGGAACTTTGGAACATGTCAATAAATATGATTATGATGACAGTTACCCTCTTCCTGCTTCCCGGTCATTCCAGGATCCTACAGGTAAAATGATGAAATGTGATCCACTGATCTCTGTCCACAATGTTGTCCTCCTAGACTTTCACATGGCTGGTTCCTCCTTCAGCCATGTGAAAGTTGGCCATTTAAATGTCACCTTCAGAGAAATCTTCTCTGCCTACAGAATTACACTCTCACTCCCAGCCCCATCCTAATTACAAACTTCCTTAATATTGTCTAACCTAACCTTCTATGTTTTCCTTATATGGAGCACTTAATAAGGACTATCAAATGTTAGTTGCTTATTACCTTTTCTATTCCTACTACTGCAGTCACAGAGCTCATCTTGTACATTCAGTATCTAACCACTAAGCACATAATATGTAACAGTAACAGGAATTTATTCAAGGTCAACACATTTAAAAACCTACATGGAGAATTATCAAGTGCCAAATCACTATATTCCTAAAGCACATGTCCAGTAATAGTCTGCTGAAACTTAACATACCCCAGACTAACAAGGCACATGCTCATTCTAACTTCCCCATTCTTTTCTGGATGCTATCACATTTAGATTTACAAAAAATACCCTTAATATTTATTAAGTCACTGAACACCAGTGTGATCATTTGACCTTACATTTGTATACACACTTTCCAGTTAAAAACTGTTTTCACATTTCTTATCACTGTTGTTGATCACATATATATATATATACAAGGTAGATATTAGTATGATTTTTAAGAATGAGGTCACTAAAGGTCAAATAGGATGACTCATTTTTTCCAATATTCCAGGGGCAGTAAGTGACACAACCAAGATACTAACCTGTCTTCTGACTTCCACTCAGTGCTGGTACCATTGTGCAACAACTGCTTCAAGAGGTCAGGCCCTTCCCATCTCTTTCCACAGTTGTGCCCTTACTATACATTGTCATTATTTCATACTTACATTACTAAAAGCATGGGTGCCACAAATATATTCAATGCATTCTATTCTTGAAAATTAATTCTACTTACCTGAACATCACTAAACCAAAGTGTTGCTATTATACTCCTGCATATTTACTATTACCCATACATTTCTTCTCCTGAAATGGTCCTTGAAGATTGATATTAGAACATCCAAATGCATTAAACAATTCATGTATCAAGTATTATCATTTGGAGTTCCATGTTGCAAAAAATTACAGTCCAAACTATTTCTCTCTGAATGTCATTAGGCCATTCACACATCCAGAAGTACCAAACAATCCTACATTGGGCCATGGGGTGACCTGGAATATTTCTATAGGTTATAGATAAACATACTTCAGAGATCAAATTGATTCCCTGTCACTTCTAAACATTATTTGTTGCACTACACTGCCTTCACAATGGAATACTATAAGCTAGCAGAATCGCATCATGCAGTCCTAATATACTTACAACACAATTACTTTCTTGATAAGGAGGTGAAAATGTAAGAAAATAATTCCTTCTATATATAGAGAGAGGTAAGAATGAAAAGTCAGATCATCCCTTTTTAAGTTTCAACACACTCGATGCTAATATTTTAAAAACACAACAATAGACAGTACCTCACAAGACGAATCCAAAGGTACTTCTACAACTTCGTTTTCTCCAGATACTAATGCAGACATCATATCTATAAAATGTTATTCATAGATATACTCATGAGAACATTTTTTACTGTGTATTTTAAATACACATATGAATTTATCACGAAGCATTTTAATTCCAAGGAAATAAAATTACGAGCAAAAAATGATTTCTTGATTAAAGCAGATAAAGGGTGAAGAAGTTGGTAACAAAAGAGAAACAACAAAAGAAAAATATTTAACTGAAATGGATGTTACATTTCGATCTACATACATTAACTGGTGTTTTTATAACAGCATTTAAGAGTGGAAAAATGTTTAGCTATATTCACTAACTTACCACTTCTGTTATGATGACACACAGCAGTAAAACTGCCACTAGTGTTTTGCACTTGAAGAGCATTTTCAATAATACCAATACCATTTTCCTTTTTTGTAGTTGATGGATTTGCTGTTCCCTCCTATTAAAAAAATTCCCAACTTCAGAACACATTGTATTTATTCATTCATTCACCCACTCAGTCAGTTAGAAAATATGTATTTAGAGTCTATCAAATCATGGGCAATATTCTGGGAAAAGCTGAACATATAAACAAAGGCAGATTCTGCACTACATTTAATGGATGATGGAAATGTAAAAAAAAAAAAACACAAAAAACAGAAATACAAAATTCACTACTTTTATAATTGAAGTGAATAAAGGATAGTAAGGTCAAGATAAGAGAACTGTCACTTCCACCTGGGAAACTCAAGAAATGCTGCAAAAATAGGACCGGATTTTAAAAACAAAGTGAAGAAGGAGGGTATAAATGCTTCCTACACAGGGCAACTGGATGAAAAGGATGAAGCAGAACACAACTTGGTAATTAGGAGTAGCAAAGTAATGTGGTAAAACTGGAACACAGCTATAGGAACAGGGATGGAAACTGAAAACAGGAGGCTCTCTCAGAAACACACCAGACACGTGCCATCCCGAAACATGAACTGTCCCCTCATGTAATGAGGATCCTCCCAAAGAGAGGATGACTTAGTTCTTCACAAATATAGTTTACAAAGGTCACCAGGCAGCAATGTAAAGATAAATGAACTTAACACAGCAGGGTGAGAGGGGGGTAACCAGAAAAGACTACTCAAAAATTATAAGACAGAGAGTGAGTAAGCGTACTAAGATCTGAAAAATGGTAAGCACTTAGAAGATGCAGAACTTGGTGAATGAGACAACTGGTGATTGGAGGGAGGACTGTAGAGCTGGACCATTCCTGCTTGAATGTTTCACTGCTATTTGTGAGGGGGCATTTACTAGGGTGAAGAAGCCAGATGTCAGAGTGTATTATGGAGAGTCAGGAAAATTCAAGAAGGGTCAAGGACAGCTTCACTTGGCACTGTATCCAATTTGAGGCACCAGTAGATGTGATGCACAAGACAGAGCTGGCTGAATTACACTGGGAGTAGGAGTTAGTAACCTCACTCAGGAAAATTATATGGAGTTAAGAAGGTAAATATTTGAAAAATACACTAAAGTGATAGAATTCAATAATGCAAACATAGAAAGAACTTGCAAATTCTAAAATTATAAGGAAAGGAGGGAAATAAAATATCAGATGCAATTTTTCAATTACATAACTCAGTGTCTGTTCAAGGATATAAATATACTTTTATTTATATATGCAATATCGAGGTACAGAAAATTGCCAGGATATGCATTTTTAAATGCAATGAAATGGCTGAATTCTAAAACACCAATTCAAAATGCCAATTTAAGAGGATTCCTTTGTAAAAATTAATCTTCAAAGTTTTAAACTATAGAAGACTTCCTTCTCCATTTGTGTGCTTACAGAATTATGAGGCATGTTCAAATATACTATAACGTATGAAGGAGATATGAAACCCTATGTTGAATTTCCCATGGTTTTTCTTCAGCCCCAGTAAAGGACATACTAATAGCTCTGTTTTCCTCTTCATGCCAGATAGGATATTCGTTAATAATCAGAGAGAGCATCTAGTATAAGGAAAATAAAGCTATGATTGTTCACGTTGAAGATAAAAAATCTTCAAAAACATCTACGATTGTCAAGGAGGACCCAATATTCGTGGAAGGACAGAAGAAACAGAGTGAAATGTCAAGTGAAACATTCTTGAATTTAAGAGATGAACCAATCTATGGGCCAGGTAAAAAACTCTACATACTAAAGTTCATAAAGCTTCCTGAGAATAATATAAAGGGTCCCTTATGTGGGAGATATTTTTAAAAGTAAAATCTCATCAAACAGAGATGATTTTGTATACTCCCTTGGAAACCATTGCTTTATCATATCTCTATGATTAGGTAGTTTATATTAGAAAGAGTCATCACTTATGTTTAAGCTCATGTGGCATGTGTATATACAGGTGGCCACTACATACAGATATTATTGGCACAAGATCAATGAGAATAACTCCAGAAACAAATAATTGCTGCATTTATTTCTCTAAGAGTGTTGTGGCTCAAAATATCTTTTCTGTGATCATCAACCAAGATTCAGAACCTCGCCTGGATAACCTGGCATTATAATTTTAATTAATAAAAAGATCACCCTGCAGGTCCTTCTCCCTCACCACAGCACCAACCCCACTTGGTGGCCACCATACTGCTTTTGCCTGCATTGTGTGCCTTTGTTCTGCCCAGGAAGCTTCATCCCTTTAGTTTTTCATTTCACTGGAAACGGACACAAACATTCTGCACAACCCACTCAGACTGCAGCAGCCCCAGGGGACCAGTGATTCCCAGGGAACACTCACTGATCCCATAGCTGCCACAATCTGTGCAGGATGCCTACAGGTGAGAGGATAGCACAGCATGTCAGAAGGGGTCCTTGGGACTTAGGGGTCAAGAATGACAGGTCTCATCCTTTTAGACTCTTCTCTTCCTCCTCCTCCTCCTCCTCCCCTTCCCCTGATCACAATGCTGACATACCTCTGGCAGTTCCTGCAGATTCCATGCCTACTACAGTAAGTGACATAACCAGGATACTGACATGTCATCTGACATCCACTCAGTCCTGGTACCACTGTGAAACAGCTGTTTCTATGGAAGAGGTCAGGCCCTTCCCATCTCTTTCCACAGTTGTGCCCTTACTGTACACATTCTCATTAGTTGATACTGACCCTTGTAAAAGCATGGCAGCCACAAATATATTCAATGCATCCAATTTTTGAAAATGAATTCTACTCATGAAAATATCACTAAACCAAATGGTTACCACAGTCCTACATATCTATTATTACCCATACTCTTCCTTCTCCTGTAGTGTTCCTTGAACATCTTTACTTGACAAGCCAAACATATTAAAATCTTCACATTTCTAATGTGCTTCACCTCTTTGTAGTTCCATGTGAGAAAATAATTATACTCCAACTCTTTCTCTCTCAGTACCTCTCATTAGTCCTTTCCCACATCCGTATGTACCATATAGTATTACACTGGGCTAAGGGTTCAACTGGAATGATTCTTTAGGTTCTTGATCAACATACTTCGGAGTCCTAATTGAGTCCTTGTCCCTTCTAGGCCTCACCTTTTGCACTACAGTGTACTGCCTTCTTAAATGTATGCTGCAAACTAGCAGAATTATACTAGTCAGCTGCCATATACTTAGCACAGAATTGTTTTCTTAACTACCAGCTGAAAATTGTAAGACAAAAATTCCATACATGCATATACTGAGGTAAGAAGGAAAAGTCAGATCACCCCCATTTAGCATTTAACATCACTCAGTGCTGAGATTTTAACAGCATAACACCACCACCAGTACACAGTACCTCATCATCTGAATCCCAAGGTGATTCTTCATCTTCCTTTGGTCCAGATCCTAACGTGCACCTCTTATCTGTAAAATGTCATTCACAGAGACATTCATGAGAATATGTTTCCCTGTGTATTTGAAATAGATACACAAGTCTATTGCCACTTGTTTTTATATCTATGAACTAAAATAACAAAAAATGATTTCAGGTTTGATGCAGTTTAAAGAACAAAGATGGTAGTATGAAGGAAAACAGCAAAAGAAAAATATTTGAAACAAATGGTTCTTACATAAGGATACACATAGTTTAACTGGTGTCTTTCTAAGAGCATTCAGGCATGTATAATTTTCAGAGATATTCACTAACTTACCACTTTGGATATATTCATGCATTACAGTGAAATTGACATTATTTTTTTGCTCTCGTGGAGCATTTTCAATAACACCAATAACATTTTCCTGTTTTGCAGTAGCTGGCTTTGCTCTCTCCTCCTGTAAAAAAAAAAATCCCACTTCAAAACATTGTATTTATTCACTCTCTGACCCACTCACTCAGTAAGTCAGACAATAAACATTTACTGTGTCAGCCAAATCATATGCAATATTGTGGGGTAAAGCAAAACATATAAAGACAAGGCAGATTCTACCAGATATTCAAGCAGGAGTTGAGATGTGTGGAAACAAATAAGAAGAGAAAGGGATAAGTCACCAGTTGTACAAATGAACTGAATAAATTACAGTAAGGTCATGAAGGAGAGAACAGTCCATTCTAACTGGGAAACTCCAGAATTTCTACAAAGATAGGACCACATTCCAAAAGGCACACAAAGTACAGACCAAAGGTGTGAAGAATTTCTAGACATGCAGGATGAACACCAGGATAAGGAAACAACATGCCAAAATAGGGGAAACAATATGATGTGGTAACACTTAAAACAGTTACAGGAACCGGGATGAAGAGTGAAAATGGCAGAATCAGTGGCAACTGCACCAGACACGTGCCATCCTAGAACATGAACTGTCCCCCTCATGTAATGAGGATCCTCCCAATGAGGAGATGTTTTAGATATTCACTAATACAGTTTAGAAAGGTCACCCAGGCAGCAATGTAAAGATAAATGAACTTTACAAGGCATGCTGGGGGAGGGTAACCAGAAAATATTATTCCAAAATTATAAGTCAGAGAGTGAGTAAGCATACTAAGATCTGAAAAATGGTACCCAGTTAGAAGATGCAGAACTTGGTAAATTAGAGAATTGGTGACTGGAGGGAGGATAGGAGAGCTGGACTGTTCCTGCTTGAATGTTTCACTGCTATTTGTGAGAGGTCTTTTACTAGGGTGAAGAAGCCAGATGTCAGAGTGTATTATGGAAAGTCAGGAAAACTCAAGAATGGTCAAGGACAGCTTCACTTGGCAATGGATCCAATTAGAGGCACCCAGTAGACGTGATGCACAAGACAGAGCTGGGCAAATACATTGGGTGTAGGAGTCAGTAACCTCACTCAGGAAAATTATATGGAGTTAAGAAGGTAAATATTTGAAATATACACTAAAGTGGTAAAATTCAATAATGCAATCATAGAAAGAAGTTGCAAATCCAAAATTATAAGGAGAAGAGGGAAATAAAATATGGGATGCAATTTTTCAGTAACATAACTCATGGTGTGTCTTATGGATATAAAATATACTTTTATTTATGTATGCAATATTGAGGGTACTAAAATTGCCAGGATATGCATTTTTAAATGCAATGAAATGGCTGAATTCTAAAACACCAATTCAAAATGCCAATTCAAGAGGATTCCTTTGTAAAAATTAATCTTCAAAGTTTAAAACTGTAGAAGACCTCCTTCTCCATTTGTGTGCTTACAGAATTAGGAGGCATGTTTAAATACACTATAATGTAAGAAGGAGATGTAAAACCCTATGTTGAATTTCACATGGTTTTTCTTCTGCCCTGGAAAAGGCCATACTAATAGCTCTATCTCCCTCTTTATGCCAGATAGGATATTAGTTAATAATAGGAGAGAGCATCTAGTATGAAGAAAATGTTCAAGTTGAAAATAAAAAGTCTTCAAAAACATCTACGATTGTCAAGGAAGACCCAATATTCATGGGAGGACAGAAGAAACAGAGTGAAATGTCAAGTGAAACATTCTTGAATTTAAGAGATGAACCAATCTATGGGCCAGGTAAAAACTCTACATACTAAAGTTCATAAAGCTTCCTAAGAATAATATAAAGGGTCCCTTATGTGGGAGATATTTTTAAAAGTAAAATCTCATCATACAGAGATGATTTTGGATACTCTCTTGGAAACCACTGCTTTATCATATCTCTATGATAAATAGTTTATATTAGAAAGAGTCATCACTTATGTTTAAGCTCATGTGGCATGTGTATATATAGGTGGCCGCTACATACAGATATTATTGGCACAAGATCAAAGAGAATAACTCCAGAAACGAATAATTGCTGTATTTTTTTCTCTAAGAGGGTTGTGGCCCAAATATCTTTTCTGTGATCATCAATCAAGATTCAGAACCTCCTTTGTACAACCTGATGTTATAATTTTAATTAATAAAAAGATCAAATAAAAGGTTTATTTATTTCTCTCTCTTTATTCTGTAAAAGATCTAAAAGAGCTACCAGAATTGTCTAAAACAGTAAGATATATTACTTAAGTAAGTTATGGACAGACAAAACACTAAGTTAGAAACCTGAAGCAAGAAACAAGAGTCTAAACTTGATAATTGATTAAGAAATCTATATGTGCACTTAAGTGTTGATCGTTGAAACCAATTTTATGGCGAGTACATGTGGTGCTTATTTTTCCATTGAATGGGGAAAGGAGAGGATGGGTATACATATATACATAAAGAGTGCGATGTGAACCATCTGGGGGATGGACACGCTTGAAGCTCTGACTCAGGGAGGATGGGGGGACAAGGGCAATATACATGACCTAAATATTTGTACCCCACAATATGCTGAAAAAAAAAATCTGCCAAGCCATATGATAGATATCCCCTGGCATTACCTGCGACGTAGGTTTGACTACATTCAGATTAAGACATCACTTTTCTATACTTAAATGAAATGAGGTTGAAATTCTTTCCTTTCTAAATTGCTATTAATTGATATATCCGAGGTACACATATACAGGGCATACGTATGATAATTTGACACAGTCATATTAATAGAATCACAGAGGGTATTTGGGATATCCATTAACTTAATCATTTTCAAATTGTCTTTCATTTCTTCATTGAAATCAGGTATATGTCATTCTGAAGAATATGAGCATCTTTTGCACTGACTATCTTTTCTGAATTTGCATTTAAAAGAATTTCCATTGAATTTCATAATATGGAGAGTTCTTGCTCTCATTAACTCCACTATTGTTGCAGAGTTTTTATAATAATCTGTCACCTTGACTCTCTTATTCAATTGTTCTATTTATTTTCCCTTCTCACATGAATTCTTCCCCTTCATCCCTTTCCCATTTACATGTCTGTTGAGCAGTCCTTTAGGCTTGCTTTCTAATTCTTGGCTCACACAATGGCAACTTAAAAAATTCTTTACTCCCAACCAAACTTTAGATATCTCAATAGTATACATATCACTCTATTGTGATTACACTGCTTTCTATTATGATCTTGAGGATGTACATTCTACCATCCTTGTCAGCATGATGAGGATCAGGGGGTGGTATGTGAAAAAAGCATGGATAAAAGGAAAGGTGTTTGTTTTTCTTCTTGTTGCTTAAACTAACTTACCTCTGTGAGACCTGGCTTAGTTGAAGCCTTGAAGGAAGTTTTCTCACCAGTGCCAGGTGGTTGAAAGGAAGGATGATGAAAGCCCTGCATTTTGACTGATGTTGTGCGAAGGCGTTGAACCACATGTGGATGATTAGAAATACTGTCCTCAATCATGGTTCCATTTTCTGTTCTCATAGTACATTGTGCCTTTACTACCATAAAAATAAAAAGTATATGAAAACATTTTTAACTAAATAATGAAAGATAACACAAGAACAGAAAATCTTCAAATAGCTTACCAATTTTTAGGGGTTGCTGAGAAGCAATCATTGGCTTTGTCAACCCTGATTGTGGAACATTCTAGAACAAAAAACAACAGGTTTAAGAATAATGATTATCAAATTGGATAAATTAAGAATAATATTCACCATTACTATACGATCTAACACAAAGTGCACAGACTGTGGAGTCACTCAGATGTAGACACTACCTTTGAATCTCTGATTTGTTTAGCTACATCTTCTCACGGGGGGGGGGGGAGGATTATGAGAGCCCATACAGATATACCCAAAATATTACTCCTCTCATCCCAAGTTCATTAATGTACAAACATTATGATATCCATTAGACTATATTCTTAAAAAAACAACTTAGGACAAAAATTTTCCCAGATACTTTAGAGCATTCTTGGAAAAAAGTAACATTAAGGAGCTTATATTAATCATGTGTTATATTTTGACATATGTTCGCATGATTAATCTTTGTATGAATTATCTCTTGCCCAGGAATATATGGGAGTTTAGCTTTTAGTAGTACCTTAGGCAAAAGGGTCAACGTTGCAAATACTATAAGTCACTTCTACCGTGTTCCTCAAAAAGCTAAACATAAGTCATTGTACCCACTCAGGGCTTTGCAAGAAAGAGAGAAGTAAACAGGAATAAACCCTGTTGGGCAATAAGGGATGAGGGAAAGGCACACATAGATACTAAATAGAAAGCTGTAACTGAATATGGAGACAGAGAAGAAATCAATGGACAGACACTGAAGAAATGTCTTCTGCAAGAAGAATTTCGGTGGGTGTAAAACAATTTCAAAAGGTGGGAGAGCATGGAGAAGCACACAAACGAAAAGAAGCCATATTCCCAGTCTATGATTTATGAACATAACTCAAGGAAGAAAAGACATTAAGAACAGTGAGATATGTAACAGATATTTGTGTTCATAGCACATCTGTAATAATGTGGCCTTTTACTCAACAGTTACTTTTTGTCTCCACTTCCAGAGACTTCAATTTTACTCCTATAAAATGACACATTCCATTAGTCAAACATGGTCACCTACCACTACCTGAAAGCTGAAAAAGAAAACTGGAAACAAAAATTTCCATCCATTTCCTCCGTGAGGAAAAATGGATAATCAGAATTCTAAACAGTAATGTGTGGCTTGTAATGATGTCATCTATTAAAGAAGTTTTCAGAATCCCTTGCTAGAAACAGCACAGAAGGGATATGGGTAGAATGGCTGAGTGGAGACATCAGGCACTGGATTCCAGGAGAAAGAGCAGAAAATTTCAGATGACAAGGCACATCCCGGGTCTAATTTGGAGGAATCAGTGCCAGAATCCACCACAGTTCCCACGGAGAGGTCCCAGGTCAGAACAAGAAGGAGCAAGATTCTGACAGAGAATTCCCAGAGGAATAGGGAGCCCATGGAGAGATAAGGTGGGGATGTTTGCTATTCCACCCCCAACACCTCTGACAGTCTGCAGTCTCCCAAACTGCAAGACAGCTCCTCTACCCCCAGGAGACTAAGCGCTGCTGCCCTCAGAGCACTGGGAGCTTCTTTAGCACAGAGCACAAGGCTGATGGCACCCTGCAGGTCCTTCTCCCTCACCACAGCACCAACCCCACTTGGTGGCCACCATACTGCTTTTGCCTGCATTGTGTGCCTTTGTTCTGCCCAGGAAGCTTCATCCCTTTAGTTTTTCATTTCACTGGAACGGACACAAACATTCTGCACAACCCACTCAGACTGCAGCAGCCCCAGGGGACCAGTGATTCCCAGGGACACTCACTGATCCCATAGCTGCCACAATCTGTGCAGGATGCCTACAGGTGAGAGGATAGCACAGCATGTCAGAAGGGGTCCTTGGGACTTAGGGGTCAAGAATGACAGGTCTCATCCTTTTAGACTCTTCTCTTCCTCCTCCTCCTCCTCCTCCCCTTCCCCTGATCACAATGCTGACATACCTCTGGCAGTTCCTGCAGATTCCATGCCTACTACAGTAAGTGACATAACCAGGATACTGACATGTCATCTGACATCCACTCAGTCCTGGTACCACTGTGAAACAGCTGTTTCTATGGAAGAGGTCAGGCCCTTCCCATCTCTTTCCACAGTTGTGCCCTTACTGTACACATTCTCATTAGTTGATACTGACCCTTGTAAAAGCATGGCAGCCACAAATATATTCAATGCATCCAATTTTTGAAAATGAATTCTACTCATGAAAATATCACTAAACCAAATGGTTACCACAGTCCTACATATCTATTATTACCCATACTCTTCTTTCTCCTGTAGTGTTCCTTGAACATCTTTACTTGACAAGCCAAACATATTAAAATCTTCAAAATCTTCACATTTCAGGCATTATCTTTTGTAGTTCCATGTGAGAAAATAATTATACTCCAACTCTTTCTCTCTCAGTACCTCTCATTAGTCCTTTCCCACATCTGTATGTACCATATAGTATTACACTGGGCTAAGGGTTCAACTGGGATGATTCTTTAGGTTCTTGATCAACACACTTCGGAGCCCTAAATGAGTCCTCGTCCCTTCTAGGCCTCACCTTTTGCACTACAGTGTACTGCCTTCTAAATATATGCTGCAAACTAGCAGAATTATACTAGTCAGCTGCCATATACTTAGCACAGAATTATTTTCTTAACTACCAGCTAAAAATCGTAAGAATTCCTTATATGCATATACAGAGGTGAGAAGGAAAAGTCAGATCATCTCCCTTTAGCATTTAACATCACTCAGTGCTGAGATTTTAACAGTGTAATTCCACCACTAGTATGCAGTACCTCATCATCTGAATCCCAAGGTGATTCTTCATCTTCCTTTGGTCCAGATCCTAACGTGCATCTCTTATCTGTAAAATGTCATTCACAGAGACATTCATGAGAATATGTTTCACTGTGTATTTGATATAGATACACAAGTCTATTGCCATTCATTTTTATATCAATGAACTAAAATAACAAAAAATGATTTCATTCCTTGGCCCATAGATTGATTCATCTCTTAAATTCAGGAATGCTTTACACTTGGCATTTCACTCTGTTTCTTCTGTTCTCCTACAAGTATTGGGTCCTCCTTTATGCAGTTTAAAGAACAAAGATGGTAGTATGAAGTAAAACAGCAAAAGAAAAATATTTGAAACAAATGATTTTTACATTTGGATCCATATACTTTCACTGGTGTCTTTCTAACAGCATTTAGGAATGGAAAATTTTCAGAGAGATTCGCTAACTTACCACTTCTGCTATTTTCGTGCATTACATTAAAACTGACATTATTTTTTTGCTCTCGTGGAGCATGTTCAATAACACCAATACCATTTTCCTGTTTTGCAGTAGCTGGCTTTGCTCTCTCCTCCTGTAAAAAAAATCTCACTTCAGAACATATTGTATGTATTCACTCACTGATCCAGTCACTCAGTAAGTCAGACAATAAACATTTACTGTGTCAGCCAAATCATATGCAATATTGTGGGGCAAAGCAAAACGTATAAAGACAAGGCAGATTTTGCCACATATTCAAGCAGGAGTTGAGACGTATAGAAACAAATAAGAAGAGAAATGGATAAGTTACCAGTTGTACAAATGAACTGAATAAAGTACAGTAAAGGCACAAAGGAGAGAACAGTCCATTCTAACTGGGAAACTCCAGAAATGCTACAAAGATAGGACCACGTTCCAAAGGCACACAAAGTACAGACCAAAGGTGTGAAGAATTTCTAGACATGCAGGATGAGCACAAGGATAAGGAAACAACATGCAAAATAGGGGAAGCAAAATGATGTGGTAACACTTCAAAACAGATATAGGAACCGGGGTGGAGAGTGAAAACGGCAGAATCGGTCACAACTGCATCAGACATGTGCCATCCTAGAACATGAACTGTCCCCTCCTATAATGAGGATCCTCCTAATGAGGAGATGACTTAGATATTCACAAATACAGTTTAGAAAGGTCACCCAGGAAGCAATGTAAAGGTAAATGACTTCACAAGGGATGGTGTGGGGAGGGTAACCAAAAAAAATTATTCTAAAATTATAAGTCAGAGAGTGAGTAAGTGTGCCAAGATCTCAAAAATGTAAAGCAGGTAGAAGATGCAGAACTTGGTGAATGAGAGAACAGTGACTGGAGGGAAGACAGGAGAGTTGGACTGTTCCTGTTTGAATCTTTCACTGCTATTTGTGAGGGGTCATTTACTGGGGTGAAGAAGCCAGATGTCAGAGTATATTATGGAGAGTCAGGAAAATTCAAGAAGGGTCAAGGACAGCTTCACTTGGCACTGTATCCAAATTGAGGCACCCAGCGGACGTGATTCACAAGACAGAGTTTGGTGAATACATTGGGAGTAGGAGTAGGTAACCTCACTCAGGAAATTTATATGGAATTAAGAAGGTAATTATTTAAAAAATACACTAATGTGATAGACTTCAATAATGCAATCATAGAAAGAACTTGCAAATTCTAAAATTATGAGGAAAGGAGGGAAATAAAATATCGGATGCAATTTTCAATTACATAACTCAGTGTCTGTTTCAAGGACATAAAATATACTTTTATTTACATACGCAAATATTGACTTCCTGAAAATCGCCAGGATAATGCATTTTTAAATGCAATGAAATGGTTGAATTCTAAAACACCAATTGAAAGTGCCAATTCAAGAGGATTCCTTTGTAAAAATTAATCTTCAAAGTTTTAAACTGTAAAAGACCTCCTTCTCCATTTGTGTGCTTAAAGAATTATGAGGCATGTTTAAATATACTAAAATGTAAGAAGGAGATATGAAACCCTATGTTGAATTTCACATGGTTTTTCTTCTGCCCTGGTAAAGGATATACTAATAGCTCTATTTTCCTCTTTATGCCAGATAGAATATTAGTTAATAATAGGAGACAGCATCTAGAATGAAGAAAATAAAGCTATGATTGTTCAAGTTGAAGATCAAAAATCTTTAAAAACATCTACGATTGTCAAGGAGGACCCAATACTTTAGGAGAACAGAAGAAACAGAGTGAAATGCCAAGTATAAAGCATTCCTGAATTTAAGAGATGAATCAATCTATTGGCCAGGTTAAAAAACTCTACATACTAAATTCATAAAGTTTTCTGGGAATAATATAAATGGTCCGCTATATAGGAGATATTTTTTTCTTGGAAAATTAATATATATATTTGAGACAGGGTCTCACTGTTTTATCTAAGCTACAGTATAGTGGTGTCTTCATAGCTCACAGCAACCTTAACAATAATCATCAAGAGAGGATTTTGTACACTCCATTCAAAACCATTGGATTATAATGTCTCTAGGACTAGTAATTTATGTGAGAAAGGAGTCATCACTTATGTTTAAGTTCATGTGGCATGTGTATATACAGGTGGCCGCTACATACAGATATTATTTGCACAAGATCAATGAGAATAACTCCAGAAACAAATAATTGCTGCATTTATTTCTCTAAGAGGGTTGTGGCTCAAAATTACTTTTCTGTGATCATCGATCAAGATTCAAAACCTCCCTTGTACAACCTAATGTTATAATTTTAATTAATAAAAAGATCAAATAAAAGGCTTATTTATTTCTCTCTCCTTATTGTCTAAAAGATCTAAAACAGCTGCCATAATTGTATCAAACAATAAGATATTTTAGTTAGGTAAGTTATGGATAGACAAAACATTAAGATAGAAACCTTAGCAAGAAACAAGAGTGTAAACTTAATAATTGATTAAGAAATCTCAGATAAAGAAAATGGCGGAATAAAGGTTACCCCCTGGACTCCTGCTCCCAGAGAAGGAGGCATAGATCTTGGTCTCCTACACTCGCGTGGATCTCCCCCCTACAAGGACAGCATGGAGAATCTGTAGAGGTTCAGCACGGGACTCTCATAAAAGGAAAAACAAGGTGACTGGGAGATAAGATCATGTTTCCTGAGACACAAAACAAGCAATAGGGCGCGTGGGAGGGCACCGGCCCACCGGGCCAGGGGGTGAAGTGGGATCAGACCCACAGGAGAACTCCTTGCTTCCCCATTGACCTCCACACCCACCCAGCCAGGGACCTGACACTGGTGCGAAATCATGGCAGGAGAAGAGGGTGCTGCAGAGTGTGGTCAATGGTGGAAAACACCGTGATCTCCCCTGAGCCCCGTGCTAGGATGGCTCCAAGACAGGAGGAAACTAAACTGAGCTGACAGGGGAGGCAGTTAGATGTCTTGCCTCTGGTAACCAGTGGGGCCAGCCCTACAGAGCTGTTCACTAAGTTGGGTATTCTAAGCTGTAACTGCTTAGGGCAAATAAGACTGCATAGGGTGGGTCAATAAGAGTGAGAGCTATGGCTGAACAGGCGGTCGGGCAGGCGGCACAGAAGAGCCTACGGGACGGCCTGTTGACCCAGACTCCCAACCTGGCACCTGTCACACCCTAAACAGTTGCCCCCAGTACTGGTGCCCTGCAAGTGAGCAAATGGCCGCCATTGAGGGGGTCCACAACTCAGTCGTCATACAGTGCGGTGGGCAAGCCCCCATCCCCCTCCCAGCCTAGAGTCTCTGCTGGCAAATTCCGCCCCTACACAATCTGCAATCGGCTCTCCAGGCCTGGCTTGATCAACGAACTACTGAGAAGACTAACAGACGAGGGGAGTTATAGCTACTGGGGTGCCGGGGTGCAGGGCAGACTGGGGAGCTACCTCCTCCCCCCAGCGCACATCTCTCCTGCCAAAAGTGATAGACTCCACCCATGGAGGCGGGGTGAGACAAGAAAACCCACTCTCCCCCAGATCTAGGGAGAACTCGCTTGACCTGTGTAGTGCGTAAGCACAGAGTGTAAAAGACTGTGCTTCCCAGAACAGCTCAGGTCACGCAGTTGAACAAAAAGCTGGGACTGGACCTCCTCCCCGGTCAGGGGCAGGCTCCACAACTATCTACCCCCATCAGGGAAACCTTCTAAGTGTTGTGGAAGAGCTCCCCCCAGTGGCTGATCAAGGAACTACAGAAGAGAGGATGCCTGAGCTCCAGCACTTGATCCAGATGTAAAATCTCCGGTAATTCAAAAAATCAAACCGAAAATAATCCCCCTAGGAGATGCACCAGCTCTCAAGAAATGGAGACTGAACAAACCCAAAACACTAAAACGACAGAAAAAGAACTCCAAAATTGGATTGTAAGAATGCTCAATGATATGCAAGAAAAAATGGATAACCAACACAAGGAAACTACAAAGAAGATACAGGACTTGGAACAAAGATTCACTAAGGAAATCGAGACCTTGAAGAAGAATCAATCCGATATCCTGGAAATGAAGAATTTATTCAGGGAAATTCAAAACACAGTGGAAAGCCTCAAAAATAGGGTGGACCAAACAGAAGAAATAATCTCAGAGATTGAAGGCAACACATTCAAACTAAATAAGTTAATCACAGAGTTAGAGCAGAAAAATAAGACACATGAGCAAAGCTTACAAGAATTGTGGGATTATATGAAGAAAAATAACCTGTGGGTCCACTGGATTCCGGAGAAGGAGGAAGAAAAAACCCAAGGGTTGGATAAGCTATTTGAAGAAATAATTGAGGAAAATTTCCCAGGTCTAACCAGTAACCTAGAATTAGAAATACAAGAGACCAAAAGGACTCCTGGGAGACACAATGCAAACAGGAAAACACCACAACTTGTAGTCATCAGACTGACCAAAATATCAACAAAAGAGACCCTCCTACAAGCTGTAAGGCGAAAGAAGCAAGTTACATACAAAGGAAAACCAATCTGAATAACACCAGATTTCTCAACTGAAACAACACAAGCAAGGAGAGACTGGGGCCCCATTCTCACTCTTCTGAAACAAAACAATGCCCAGCCTAGAATCTTATTCCCTGCAAAACTAAGTTTTGTATGTGAAGGAGAAATCAAGACATTCTCAGATAAGCAAAGACAGGGAGTTCACCAAGACAAGACCAGCCCTTCAAGAAGTACTCAAAACAGTGTTACCCACAGATCAGCACAATAAACACTCACAAATGTAAATCTACTCAAAGCTAAAGATCAAAGCCCAGATACTATAATGGCTCAAGAGAGAAAACAGAGCAACAAAGTTCAACCCAACATAATGAACAGAAATCGTCCCCACCTATCAGTTATCTCAATAAATGTGAATGGCTTGAACTCCCCACTCAAGAGACATAGGCTGGCCAAACGGATAAAAAACATAAGCCAAGTATCTGCTGCTTTCAGGAAACACATCTAACCTTCAAGGATGCAATTAGACTAAAGGTAAAGGGGTGGAGAACAATTTTTCAAGAAAATGGAAGCCAAAAGCTGGCATGGCGGTGGTGATTACAGATAACTTAGTTTTTAAATCAACAAAAGTAATAAAAGACAAAGAAGGTCGCTATATAATGGTGAAGGGTACAGTTCAACAAGAAGACATAACAATTCTAAATATATATGCACTCAACCTAGGTGCACCAACATTCATAAAGCAAACTCTACTGGATCTAAACAAATGGATAAACAACAACACCATAATAGTTGGAGGCTTTAACACCCCACTGACAACACAGGACAGATCCTCCAAACAGAAAATCAACAAAGAAATAGTGGACTTAAACAGAACCGTAGAACAAATGAGCCTGACTGACATCTATAGGACATTCTACCCCAAAACCACTGAATATATGTTCTTCTCATCAGCTCATGGGTCATTCTCTAAGACTGACCATATCCTAGGACACAAAGCATGTCTCAAACAATTTAAAAAAATAGAAATTATACCATGTATTTTTTCAGACCACAATGGAATAAATGTAGAAATAGATCCTAACAGGAGTCCTCATTTCTACACAAAGTCATGGAAACTAAACAACGTTCTGCTGAATGATCACTTCATAAATGAGGAAATCAAGATGGAAATCAAAAGATTCTTGAAACTAAACGACAAAGGTGACAGAAGTTACCAAAACCTGTGGGACACAGCTAAAACAGTCATGAGAGGAAAGTTTATTTCCATCAATGCCTATATCCTAAAGTCAAAAAGATCACAAATAGACAATCTAATTTAATGACTCAAAGAGCTGGAAAAAGAAGAACAGACCAACCCCAAATCCAGCAGAAGAAGTGAATTCATTAAGATCAAATCAGAACTAAAAGAAATTGACAACAGGGAAACTATATGGAAGATTAATAAAACAAAAAGTTGGTTCTTTGAAAAAATAAACAAAATTGACACACCATTGGCTAGGCTAACGAAAAGCAGAAAAGAGAAATCTCTAATAAGTTCCATCAGGAACAATAAAGCAGAAATTACAACTGATGCCACAGAGATATAAGATTTAATTTATGAATACTACAAAAACCTCTATGCACACAAACTGGAAAATGCGGAGGAAATGGACAATGTCTTAGAAACACACAGCCTCCCTAGGCTCAACCAGGAAGAAATAGAATTCCTGAACAGACCAATATCAGATACTGAAACTGAAACAGCAATAAAAAACCTTCCTAAAAAGAAAAGTCCTGGACCAGATGGTTTCGCACCCAAATTTTACCACACCTACAAAGAAGAACTGGTGCCTATCCTGCAGAAATTATTCCACAACATCGAGAAGAATGGAATTCTCCCCAACACATTTTATGAAGCAAACATAACCCTGATACCAAAACCAGGAAAGGATGCAACAAAAAAAGAAAACTACAGACCAATATCCCTTATGAATATAGATGCAAAAATTCTCAACAAAATCCAGGTGCTTTTCGAGAAAATAATTCATCACAACCAAGTGGGCTTCATCCCAGGGATGCAGGGATGGTTCAACATATGCAAATCTATAAATGTAATTCACCATATAAACAAAAGCAAAAACAAAGACCATATGACCCTCTCAATAGATGCAGAGAAAGCATTTGACAAAATTCAACACCATTTTATGATAAGAACGCTAAACAAAATAGGCATAGACGGGGCTTGCCTAAAAATGATACAAGCCATATATGACAAACCCACAGCTAATATCATACAGAATGGGAAAAAATTGAAAGCATTCCCACTTAGAACTGGAACAAGACAAGGTTGCCCACTATCTCCACTTCTGTTCAACATAGTGTTGGAAGTCCTCGCTATAGCAATCAGACAAGAGAATGGAATTAAGGATGTCCAAAGGAGAGCAGAAGAGATCAAACTCTCACTCTTTGCTGATGACATGATATTATACCTAGAAAACTCCAAGGATTCAACCATGAGACTCCTTGATCTGATAAATGAATTTGGTAAAGACTCAGGATACAAAATCAATACACAGAAATCAGAGACATTCATATATGCCAACAACAGTAAAAGTGAGAACCAAATTAAAGACTCAATTCCCTTCAAAATAGCAACAAAGAAAATAAAGTACCTTGGAACATATTTAACTAAGGAGGTAAAAGACCTCTACAGGGAGAACTATGAAACACTGAAGAAGGAAATAGAGGAGGATGTAAACAGATAGAAGAATATACCATGCTCATGGGTCAGCAGAATCAACATTGTTAAAATGTCTATACTACCCCAAGTGACCTACAGAGTCAACACAATCACTATCAAAATACCATCATTATTTTTCACAGATATAGAAAAAATAATTTTATGCTTCGTTGGAACCAGAGAAGACCCTGTATAGCAAAATCAATCCTAGGCAATAAAAACAAAATAGGAGGTATCAATTTACCAGACTTCAAACTATACTACAAGGCTATCGTCATTAAAACAGCTTGGGACTGGCACAAGAACAGGGACATTGACCAGTGGAACAGAACAGAGAACTCAGACATAAAACCATCTTCATATAGCCAACTAATCTTTGGCAAAGCAGACACAAACATACACTGGGGAAAAGAATCCTTATTCAATAAATGGTGCTGGGAAAACTGGAGAGCCACATGTAGAAGACTGAAATAGGACCCACACCTATCACCTCTCAAAAAATCATCTCACACTGGGTAACAGACTTGAACCTTAGGTGTGAAACCATTAGAATTCTAGAGGAAAATATTGGAAATACCCTTCAAGACATTTGCCTAGGCAAAGAATTTGTGAAGAAGACCCCAAATGGAATCACAACAGCAACAAAAATAAACAAATGGGACATGATCAAATTAAAAAGCTTCTGCACAGCCAAAGCAACTGTCAAGAGAGCAAACAGATAACCCACAGAATGGGAGAAAATTTTCACAAGCTACACATCTGATAAAGGGCTGATAACTAGAATCTATTTAGAACTCAGGAAAATCAGCAAGAAAAAATCAAACAACCCTATCAAAAAATGGACAAAGGACATGAACAGAAACTTCTCAAAAGAAGACAGAAGAATGGCCAACAAACATATGAAAAAATGCTCAACATCTCTAATCATCAGGGAAATGCAAATCAAAACCACAATGAGATATCACTTAACTTCAGTGAGAATGGCCTTCATCAAAAAGTCCCCAAACAACAAATATTGACATGGATGGGGGGAGTGAGGAACACTCCTACACTGCTGGTGGTACTACAAACTAGTTCAACCTCCATGGAAAGCAATATGGAGATATCTCAAAGCGATACTAGTATCTACCATTTGATCCAGCAATTCTACTACTGGGTGTCTACCCAAAAGATCAAGAGTCACTTTATGTAAAAGACACCTGCACTTGAATGTTTATAGCAGCACAATTCACAATTGCAAAGCTATGGAAACAACCCATGTGCCCATAAATCCAAGAGTGGATTCATAAAATGTGGTATATGTATACCCTGAAATATTACTCAGCTTTAAGAAACAATGGTGATATAGCACCTCTTGTATATTCCTGGATACAGCTGGAACCCATTCTATTAAGTGAAGTATTCCAAGAATGGAAAAACAAGCACCACATGTACTCACCAGCAAATTGGTATTAACGGATCAACACGTAAGTGGACATATAGGAGTAACATTTATCGGGTGTCGGGAGGATGGGAGAGGGGAGGAGGGGATGGGTATATACAATCACAACGAGTATGATGTGCAACATTTGGGGCATGGATACGCTTGAAGCTCTTACTCGAGGGGGAAGGGGGGCATCAGCAATATATGTAACCTTAACACTTGTACCCCCATAATACGCTAAAATAAAAAAAAATTAACAAAAAAATAAACACACTGATGGCAGAATAGTAAAAAAAAAAAAAAGAAATTTCAATCCTATACATATCACTGTCTTGTGATTACACTGCTTTCTATTATGATCTTGAGGATGTACATTTCTATGATCCTTGTCAGCATGATGAGGATCAGGGGGTGGTATGTGAAAAAAGTATGAATAAAAGAAGGTGTTTTTGTTGTTCTTCTTGTTGCTTACAGTAACTTACCTCTGTAAGACCTGGCTTAGTTGAAGACTTGAAGGAAGCTTTTACACCAGGGCCAGGTGGTTGAATGGAAGGATGATGAAAGCCCTGCATTTTGACTGATGTGGTGGGAAAGCGTTGAACCACATGTAGATGATTAGAAATACTGTCCTCAATCATAGTTCTATTTACTGTTCTCATAGTACATTGCGCCTCTACTACCATAAAAATAAAGAGTATGTGAAAGCGTTTTAAACTAGATAACGAAAGATAACACAAGAATAGAAAATCTTCAAATAGCTCACCAATTTTCATGGGTTGCTGAGAAACAGTGAGTGGCTTTGTCAACCCTGGTTGTGGAACATTCTAGACCAAAAAACAATAGGTTTAAGAATAATGAGTATCAGATTGGATAAATTAAGAATAATATTCACCATTACTATAAAATCTAACACAAAGTGCACAGATTGTGGAGTCACTTGGATGTAGACACTACCCTTGAATCTTTGATTTATTCAGCTACATCTTCTCATCGGGAGAGGATTATGAGAACTCATACAGATATACCCAAAATATTACTCCCCTCACCCCTAGTTCATTATTATACAAAAATTATGATATCCATTGGACAATATTCTTAAAAAAACAACCTGGGACAAGAATTTTCCCAGATACTTTACAGCATACTTTGGAAATAAGTAACATTAAGGAGCTTATATTAATCATGTGTTATATTTTGACATATGTTCGCATGATTAATCTTTGTATGAATTATCTCTTGCCCAGTAATATAGGGGAGTTTAGCTTTTAGTAGTACATTAGGCAAAAGGTCAACATTGCAAATAGTATAAGTCACTTCTATCATGTTCTTCAAAAAGCTAAATATAAGTCTTTGTACCCACTCGGGGCTTTGCAAGACAGAGAGAAGTAAACAGGAATAAACCCTGTTGAGCACTGATGGATGAATTAAAGGCACACATAGCTACTAAACAGAAAGTTTTAACTAAATATGGAGACAGATAGGAATTCAATGGATAGACTGAAGAAATGTCTGCAAAAAGAATTTCTGTGGGTGTAAAACAATTTCAAAGGTTGGGAGAGCATGGAAAAATACACAAACAAAAAGAAGAGATATGCCCAGTCTATGATTTATGAACATAACTCAAGGAAGAAAAGACATTCAGAACAGTGAGATATGTAACAGACATTTGTGTTCATAGCACATCTATAATAATGCTATCTTTTACTTGACAGTTACTTTTTGTCTCCACTTCCAGAGACTTTAATTTTACTCCTATAAAATGACACATTCCATTAGTTAAACATGGTCACCTACCACTACCTGAAAGCTGAGAAAGAAAAATGGAAACGAAAATGTTCCATCCATTTCCTCCTTGAGGAAAAATGGGTAATCAGAATTCTAAACAGTAATGTGTGGCTTGTAATGATGTCATCTATTAAAGAAGTTTTCAGAATCACTTGCTAGAAACAACACAGAGGGGATACAGGCAAAACAGCTGAGTGGAAACATCAGGCACTGGATTCCAGGAGAAAAAGAGCAGAAAATTTCAGATGATAAGGCACACCCCAAGTGTAATTCTGAGAAAACAGTGCCAGAACCCACCACAGATCCTACGCAAAGAGTTCTCAGGGCAGAACAAGAAGGAGGAAGATTCTGGCAGTGAGAAATGCAAGAGGAATTGGGAGCCCCATGGAAAGGTAAGGTGGGGGTTTAGCTATTCCTCCCCTCACACCGCTGACAGTCTGCATGATCCCAAACTGCAAGACAGCTCCTCTACCCACAGGAGAGTAAGTGCTGCTGCCCTCAGGGAACTGGGAGCTTCTCCAGCACAGAGCACAAGGCTGCTGGCACCCTGCAGGTCCTTCTCCCTCAGGACAGCACAGACTCCACTTGGCAGCCACCATACGGCTTTTGCTCGAATTGTGTGCCTTTGTCCTGCCCAGGGAGCTTCAGCCCTTTAGTTTGTCATTTCACTGGAACAGACACAAACATTTTGCACAAACCACCTAGACTGTAGCAGCTCCAGGGGACCAGTGAGTCTTGGGGAAACCGACTGATCCCATAGCTGCCACTTTTGTGCAGTATGCCTACAGGTGGGAGGACAGCACAGCATGTCAGCAGGGGTCTTTGGGACTTAGGGATCAATAATGACAGTTATCATCCTTTTAGACTCTTTTCCTCCTCCTCCGTCCCTTTCCCTCCTCAACAATGCTGACACAGCACTGGCAGCTGCTGCAGATTCCATGCCTACTACAGTAAGTGACACATAACCAGGATACTGACATGTCATCTGACATCCACTCAGTCCTGGTACCACTATGCAACAGCTGCTTCTATGGAAGAGGTCAGGCCCTTCCCATCTCTTTCCACAGTTGTGCCCTTACTGTACACATTCTCATTAGTTGATACTGACCCTTGTAAAAGCATGGCAGCCACAAATATATTCAATGCATCCAATTTTTGAAAATGAATTCTACTCATCAAAATATCACTAAACTGTTACTACAATCCTACATATTTATTATTACCCATATTCTTCCTTCTCTTGTAGTGTTCCTTGAACATCTTTACTTGACAAGCCAAATATATCAAAATCTTCACGTTTCAGGCACTATCTTCTGTAGTTCCACGTGGGAAAATAATTATACTCCAAGTCTTTTTCTGTCAGTACCTCTCATTAGGCCTTTCCCACATCCTTTTGTACCATACCATCTTACAATGGGCTACGGGTTCAACTGGAATGATTTTTAAGGTTCTGGATCAACATACTTTGGAGCCCTAATTGAGTCCTTGTCCCTTCTAGGCCTCACCTATTGCACTACAGTGTACTGCCTTCTGAAATGTATGCTACAAACTAGCAGAATTATACTAGTCAGCTGCCATATACTTAGCACAGAATTGTTTTCTTAACTACCAGCTGAAAATTGTAAGACAAGAATTCCTTATATGCATATACAGAGGTGAGAAGGAGAAGTCAGATCACTCCCCTTTAGCATTTAACATCACTCAGTGCTGAGGTTTTAACAGCGTAACACCACCACAGTACGCAGTACCTCATCATCTGAATCCCAAGATGATTCTTCATCTTCCTTTGGTCCAGATCCTAACGTGCACCTCTTATCTGTAAAATGTAATTCACAGAAACATTCATGAGAATATATTTTGCTGTGTATTTGAAACACATATACAAGTCTATTGCCACTCATTTTTATATCTATGAACTAAATAACAAAAAATGATTTCAGGTTTGATGCAGTTTAAAGAACAAAGATGGTAGTATGAAGGAAAACAGCAAAAGAAAAATATTTGAAACAAATGGTTCTTACATAAGGATACACATAGTTTAACTGGTATCTTTCTAAGAGCATTTAGGCATGTAAAATTTTCAGAGATATTCACTAACTTACCACTTTGGATATATTCATGCATTACAGTAAAATTGACATTATGAGCATTTTCAATAACACCAATACCATTTTCCTGTTTTGCAGTAGATGGCGTTGCTCTCTCATCCTGTAAAAAAAAAATCCCACTTCAAAACATTGTATTTATTCACTCTCTGACCCACTCACTCAGTAAGTCAGACAATAAACATTTACTGTGTCTGCCAAATCATATGCAATATTGTGGGGCAAAGCAGAACGTGTAAAGACAGGCAGATTCTACCAGATATTCAAGCAGGAGTTGAGATGTGTGGAAACAAATAAGAAGAGAAAGGGGTAAGTCACCAGTTGTACAAATGAACTGAATAAAGTACAGTAAGGTCATGAAGGAGAGAACAGTCCATTCTAACTGGGAAACTCCAGAATTTCTACAAAGATAGGACCACATTCCAAAAGGCACACAAAGTACAGACCAAAGGTGTGAAGAATTTCTAGACATGCAGGATGAGCACAAGGATAAGGAAACAACATGGCAAATAGGGGAAGCAAAATGATGTGGTAACAGTTCAAAACAGCTCTAGGAACTAGGATGGAGAGTGAAAACAGCAGAATCAGTCGGAACTCCATCAGACACGTGCCATCCTAGAACATGAACTGTCTCCCTCATGTAAGGAGAATCCTCTCAATGAGGAGACGACTTAGATCTTCACAAAAACAGTTTAGAAAGGTCACCCAGGCAGCAATGTAAAGATAAGTGAACTTCACAAGGCAGGCTGTGGGGAGGGTAACCAGAAAAGATAATTCCAAAATTATGAGTCAGAAAGTAAGCAAGCATACTAAGATCTGAAAAATGGTAAGCAGGTAGAAGATGCAGAACATGGCGAATAAGATAACTAGTGACTGGAGAGAGGATGGTTCCTGCTTGAATCTTTCATTGCTATTTGTGAGGGGTCTTTTACTAGGGTCAAGAAGCCAGATGTCAGAGAAGGGCCAAGGACAGCATCACTTGGCAATGTATCCAATTTGAGGCACCCAGTGGACGTGATGTACAAGACAGAGCTGGGTGAATACATTCGGTGCAGGTGTTGGTAACTTCACACAGGAGAATTATATGGAGTTATAAGGGAAATATTTGAAAAATACTCTAAAGTGATACAATTCAATAATTCAAACATAGAAAGAACTTGCAAATTCTAAAATTATGAGGAAAGGAGGGAAATAAAATATCAGATGCAATTTTCAATTACATAACTCAGTGTCTGTTTCAAGGACATAAAATATACTTTTATTTACATACGCAAATATTGACTCCCTGAAAATTGCCAGGATAATGCGTTTTTATATGCAATGAAATGGTTGAATTCTGAAACACTGATTCAAAATGCCAATTCAAGAGGATTCCTTTGTAAAAATTAATCTTCAGAGTTTTAAACTATAGAAGACCTCCTTTTCCCTTTGTGTGCTTACAGAATTATGAGGCATGTTTAAATACAGTATAATGTAAGAAGGAGATGTGAAACCCTATGTTGAATTTCACATGGTTTTTCTTCTGCCCCGGAAAAGGCCATACTAATAGCTCTATTTTCCTCTTTAAGCCAGATAGGATATTAGTTAATAATAGAAGAGAGCATCTAGAATGAAGAAAATAAAGCTATGATTGTTCAAGTTGAAGATCAAAAATCTTCAAAAACATCTATGACTGCCAAGGAAGACCCAATACTTGTAGGAGAACAGAACAAACAAAGTGAAATGCCAAGTCTAAAGCATTCCTGAATTTAAGAGATGAATCAATCTATTGGCCAGGTAAAAAATCTCTACGTGCTAAAAGTTCATAAAGCTTCCTGAGAATAATATAAAAGGTCCCCTTTGTGGGAGATTTTTTTTCTTAGAAAATTAATATATTTATTTATTTATTTATATATATAAATATATATTTTTTGAGACAGCAGCTCACTCTGTTGTCGGAGCTACAGTGCAGTGATGTCTTCACAGCTCACAGCAACCTTAATAATCATTATCAAGAGAGGATTTTGTACACGCCATTGGAAACCATTGCTTTATCATGTCTCTAGGACTAGTAGTTTATGTGACAAAGGAGTTATCAATTATGTTTAAGTTCATGTGGCATGTGTATATATAGGTGCCGCTACATACAGATATTATTAGTACAAGATCAATGAGAATAACTCCAGAAACAAATGATTGCTGCATTTATTTCTCTAAGAGAACTGTGGCTCAAAATTTCTTTTCTGTGATCATCCATCAAGATTTGGAACCTCCCCTTTATAACCTTACATTATAATTTTAATTAATGAAAAGATTAAATAAAAGGCTTATTTATTTCTCTCTCCTTATTCTCTAAAAGTTCAAAACAGCTACCAGAATTATATCAAACAGTAAGATATATTACTTAGGTAAGTTATGGATAGACAAAACACTAAGTTTGAAACTTTAAGCTAGAAATAAGAGTCTAAACTTAATAATTTATTAAGAAATCTATATGTGCACTTAGGTGTTGATCATTGAAACCAATCTGATGATGAAGACATGCGGTGCTTATATTTACATTGGGAGGGGGGAGAAGGGATGTGTATATACATACATAATGAGTACGATGCTCACCATCTGGGGATGGATACCCTTTAAGCTCTGCCTGACAGAGGAGGGGAGGAAAGGGCAATATATGTAACCTAAACATTTGTACCCCTATAATATGCTAAAAAAATTTTAAATAAATCTACCAAGCCACAAGACAGATATCCCTTGGCATTACCTGCGACATAGGTTTGACTACATTCAGATTAAGACATCACTTTTCTAAATTTAAATGAAATGAGGTTGAAATTCTTTCCTTTCTAAATAGCTCTTTAAATTGATGCATATGAGGTACACATACATGGAGCACACATGTGATAATTTGGCACATTCATATTAATAGAATCATATATCCATTAACTTAATCATTTTTAAATTGTCTTTCATTTCTTCATTCAAATCAGGTACATGTCATTCTAAAGAATATGAGCATCTTTTGCACTATATCTGTCTTTTCTGAATTTGTATTTGAAAGAATTTCCATTGAATTTTATAATATGGAGAGTTCCTGCTCTCATTAACTCCACTATTGCTGCAGTGTTTTTATAATAATCTGTCACCTTGACTCTCTTATTCAATCGTTCTATTTATCTTGCCCTTCTCACATGAATTCTTCCCCTTCATCCCTTTCTGATCTACATGTCTGTTGAGCAGTCCTTTTGGCTTGCTTTCTAATTCTCTGCTCACACAAAAGCAACTCAAAGAATTCTTTACTCCCAAACTTTAGAAATCTCAATCCTATACATCTCTCTCTCTTGTGATTACACTTTCTATTATGATCTTGAGGATGTACATTTCTATGATCCTTGTCAGCATGATGAGGATCAGGGGGTGGTATGTGAAAAAAGCATGGATAAAAGAAGGGGTTTTTGTTGTTGCTTAAACTAACTTACCTCTGTGAGACCTGGCTTAGTTGAAGACTTGAAGGAAGCTTTTACACCAGGGCCAGGTGGTTGAATGGAAGGATGATGAAAGCCCTGCATTTTGACTGATGTTGTGGGAAAGCGTTGAACCACATGTGGAAGATTAGAAATACTGTCCTCAATCATGGTTCCTTTTTTTGTTCTCATAGTACATTTTGTCCCTGCCACCATAAAAATAAAGAGTATATGGAAACATTTTTAATTAAAGAACGAAAGATAACACAAGAATAGAAAATCTTCAAATAGCTTACCAATTTTCATGGTTTCCTGAGATGCAGTCATTGGCTTTGTCAACCCTGGTTGTGGAACATTCTAGAAAAAACAACAATAGGTTTAAGAATAATGAGTATCAAATCGGATAAATTAAGAATAATATTCACCATTACTATAGGATATAACACAAAGTGCACAGATTGTTAAGTCACATGGATGTAGACACAACCCTTGATGCTCTGATTTGTTTACTACATCTTCTCATGGGGAGAAGATTATGAGAGCTCATACAGATATACTCAAAACAATACTCTCCTCACCCCTAGTTCGTTATTGTACAAACATTATGATATCCATTAGACTATATTCTTAACAAAAATATCCTAGGACAAAAATTTTCCCAGATACTTTAGAGCATTCTTTGGAAATAAGTAACATTAAGGAGCTTACATGTGTTACATTTTGACATATGTTCGCATGATTAATCTTTGTATGAATTATCTCTTGCCCAGGAATATATGGGAGGTTAGCTTTTATTGTACCTTATGCAAAAGCGTGACATTTTAAATAGTATAAGTCACTTCTATCGTGTTCCTCTAAAAGCTAAATACAAGTCATTGTACCCACTCAAGGCTTTGCAAGAAAGAGAGAAATAAACAGGAATAAACCCTGTTGGGCAATAAGGGATGAGGGAAAGGCACACATAGCTACTAAACAGAAAGCTGTAACTAAATATGGAGACAGAGAAGGAATGAATGGACAGACACTGAAGAAATGTCTTCTGCAAGAATTTTGGTGGGTGTAAAACCATTTCAAAAGGTGGGGAAGCATGAAGAAACACACAAACGAAAATAAGGCATATTCCCAGTCTATGATTTATGAACATAACTCAAGGAAGAAAAGAACAGACATTCAGAACAATAAGATATGTAACAAGACAATTGTGTTCATAGCACATCTATAATAATGCTGTCTTTTACTCAACAGTTACTTTTTGTCTCCACTTCCAGAGACTTTAATTTTATTCCTATAAAATGACACATTCCATTAGTCAAACATGGTCATCTACCACTACAGAAAGCTGAGAAAGGAAAATGGAAATAAAAATGTTCCATCGATTTCCTCTTTGGGGGAAAATGGGTAGTCAGAATGCTAAACAGTAATGTGTGGCTTGTAATGACATCATCTATTAAAGAAGTCTTTAGAAACCCTCGGTAGAAACAGCACAGAGGGGATATGGGTAGAATGGCTGAGTGGAGACATCAGGTACTGGATTCCAGGAGAAAGAGCAGAAAGTTTCAGATGACAAGGCACACCCCAGGTGTAATTTTGAGGAAAAAGTGCCAGAACCCACCACAGATCCCATGGGAAGAGGTTGCAGGGCAGAACAAGGAGGAGGAAGAATCTGGCAGAGACCCACCCCAGAGGAATTGGGAGCCCATAGAAAGGAAAGGTGGGGAGGTTTGCTTTTCCTCCCCTGACACCATTGGCAGTCTGCAGGCTCCCAAACTGTCAGACAGCACCTCTAACCTCAGGAGAGTAGGCGCTGCTGCCCTCAGGGAACTGGGAGCTTCTCTAGCACAGAGCAAAAGGCTGCTGGCACCCTAGAGGTCCTTCTCCCTCACCACAGCACCGACCACTCTTTCGTGTCACCATACTGCATTTGCACCAATTGTGTGACTTTTTCCTGCCTGGGGAGCTTCGGCTCTTTAGTTTTTCATTTCACATTCTGCACAACCTGCTCAGACTACAGCAGCCACAGGGGACCAGTGAATCCTGGGGAAACTGACTGATCCCACAGATGCCACATTCTGTGTAGGATGCCTACAGGTGAGAGGACAGCACAGCATGTCAGAAGGGGTCCTTGGGACTTCGGGGTCAAAAATGACAGGTCTCATACTTTTAGACTCTTCTCCTCCTCATCTTCCTCCCCCTCCCCTACCCACCGATGCTGACACAGCCCTGGTAGTTCCTGCAGATCCCATGCCCACTATAGTAAGTGACATAACCAGGATATTGACATGTCATCTGATATGCCCTTGGTCCTGGTACCAGTGTGCAACAGCTGCTTCTATGGAAGAGGTCAGGCCCTTTGCATCTCTTTCCACAGTTGTGCCCTTACTGTACATTCTCATTAGTTGATACTGATCCTTATAAAAGCATGGCATCCACAAATATATTCCATGCATTCTATTTTTGAAAAAAACTCTACTCATCAAAATATCACTAAACCGAAATGTTACTACAGTCCTACATATTTATTATTCCCTATCCTTTTCCTTCTCCTATAGTATTCCTTTAACATCTTCACTTGACAAGCCAAACATATTAAAATCTTCATGTTTCAGGCATTATCTTCTGTAGTTCCACGTGGGAAAATAATTATACTCCAACTCTTTCTCTCTTAGTAGCTCTATTAGGCCTTTCCCACATCCTTTTGTACCATACAGTCTTACACTGGGCTACGGGTTCAACTGGAATGATTTTTAAGGTTCTGGATCAACATACTTTGGAGCCCTAATTGAGTCCTTATCCCTTCTAGGCCTCACCTATTGCACTACAGTGTACTGCCTTCTTAAATGTATGCTGCAAACTAGTAGAATTATACTAGTCAGCTGCCATATACTTAGCACAGAATTATTTTCTTAACTACCAGCTGAAAATCGTAAGACAAGAATTCCTCATACGCATCTGGGGAGGCAAGAATGAAAAGTCAGATCACCCCCCTTTAGCATTTAACATCACTCAGTGCTGAGGTTTTAACAGCATAACACCACCACCAGTACACAGTACCTCATCATCCGAATCCCAAGATGATTCTTCATCTTTCTTTGATCCAGATCCTAACGTGCACCTCTTATCTGTAAAATGTCATTCACAGAGACATTCATGAGAACATGTTTCACTGTGTATTTAAAATACATATACAAGTCAATTGCCACTCGTTTTTATATCAATGAAATAAAATAACAAATAATGATTTCAGGTTTAATGCAGTTTTAAGAACAAAGATAGGTAGTATGAAGGAAAACAGCAAAAGAGAAATATTTGAAACAAATGGTTCTTACATAAGGATACACATAGTTTAACTGGTGTCTTTCTAAGAGCATTTAGGCATGTAAAATTTTCAGAGATATTCACTAACTTACCACTTCTCCTATTTTTGTGCATTACAATAAAATTGACATTATTTTTTTGCTCTGGTGGAACATTTTCAATAACACCAATACCATTTTCCTTTTTTGCAGTAGCTGGCTTTGCTCTCTCCTTCTATAAAAAAAAAAATCCTACTTCAAAACACATTGTATTTATTCACTCACTGAACCACTCACTCACTCAGACAATAAACAACTTTTTTTTTTTTTTTTTTTTTTTTTCATCTAAAAAAGCAACAAGATTTAAACAACTTCTGTGTCTGCCAAATCATGGGCAATATTGTAGGGGAAAGCGGAATGTATAAAGATAAGATAGATTTTGCCAGATATTCAAGCAGGAGTTGAGATGTGTGGAAACAAATAAGGAGAGAAAGGGGAAAGTCACTAGTTGTACAAATGAACTGAATAAAGTACAGTAAGGTCATGAAGCAGAGAACAGTCCATTCTAACTGGGAAACTCCAGAAATGCTACAAAGATAGGACCACATTCCAAAAGGCACACAAAGTACAGACCAAAGGTGTGAAGAATTTCTAGACATGCAGGATGAGCACTAGGAAACAACATGGCAAATAAGGAAAGCAAATGATCTGGTAACACTTCAAAACAGCTATAGGAACCGGGATGGAGAATTAAAATGGCAGAATCAGTCGGAACTCCATCAGACACGTGCCATCCTAGAACATGAACTGTCCCCTCATGTAATGAGGATCCTCCCAATGAGGAGCTGATTTAGATCTTCACAAATACAGTTTAGAAAGGTCACCCAGGCAGCAATGTAAAGGTAAATGAACTTTGCCAGGCAGGCTGGGGGGAGGGTAACCAGAAAACAACATTCTAAAATTATAAGTCAGAGAGTGAGTAAGCGTACTAAGATCTGAAAATGGTAAGCAGGTAGAAGGTGCAGAACTTGGCAAATGAGAAAACAAGTGACTGGAGGGAGGACAGGAGAGTTGGACTGTTCCTGCTTGAATATTTCACTGCTATTTGTGAGGAGTCATTTACTAGAGTGAAGAAGCCAAATGTCAGTGTGTATTATGGATAGTCAGGAAGACTCAGAGAAGGGTCAAGGACAGCTTCACCTGGCACTGTATCCAATTAGAGGCACCTAGTAGACATGATGCACAAGACAGAGCTGGGTGAATACATTAGGAATAGGAGCAGGTAACCTCACTCAAGAAAATTATATGGAGTTAAGAAGGTAAATATTTGAAAAATACATTAAAGTGCTAGAATCGAATAGTTCAAATAAACAACTCTCACAAATTCTAAAATTAAAATGAGAGGGAAATAAAATACAGGATGCAATATTTCAATTACATAACTCAGTGTCTGTTTCAAGGATATAAAATATACTTTTATTTACATATGCAAATACTGACTTCCCGAACATTGCCAGGATATGCATTTTTAAATGCAATGAAATAGTTGAATTCTAAAACACTGATTCAAAATGCCCATTCAGGAAGATTCATTTGTAAAAATTAATCTTCACAGTTTTAAACTGTAGAAGACCTCTTTCTCCCTTTGTGTGCTTACAGAATTATGAGGCATGTTTAAATACTACTATAATGTAAGACAGAGACGTAAAACCCTATATTGAATTTCATGTGGTTTTTCTTCTGCCCGGGTAAAGGACATACTAATAGCTCTATTTTCCTCTTTAAGCCAGATAGGATATTAGCTAATAATAGGAGAGAGCATCTAGAATGAAGAAAATAAAGCTACGATTAATCAAGTTGAAGATCAAAAATCTTCAAATACATCTACAATTTTCAAGGAGGACCCAATATTGGTGAGAGGACAGAAGAAACAGAGTGAGTGAAATGTCAAGTGTAAAGCATTCCTGAATTTAAGACATGAATCAATCTATGGGCTAGGTAAAATAACTCTACATACTAGAGTTCACAAAGCTTCCTGAGAATAATATATAGGGTCACCTTTATATTATTGTCATCACAATATTGTGGGAGATATTTTTAAAAGTAAAAAATCATCATTCAGAGATGATCTTGTATACTCCATTGGAAACCATTGCTTTATCATGTCTCTATGATAAGTAGTTCATGTGAGAAAAGAGTCATCAATTATGTAAGTTCATGTGGCATGTGTATATACAAGTGGCTGTTACATACATATATTATTGGCACAAAATCAATAAGAATAACTCCAGAAACGAATAATTGCTGTATTTTTTTCTCTAAGAGGGTTGTGGCTCAAAATTTCTTTTCTGTGATCACCGATCAAGATTCAGAACCTCCCTTGTATAACCTGATGTTACAATTTTAATTAATAAAAAGATCAAATAAAAGGTTTATTTATCTCTCTCTCCTTATTCTGTAAAAGATCTAAAAGACCTACCAGAATTGTATCAAACAGTAAGATATATTACTTAGGTAAGTTATGGATAGACAGAACACTAAGTTAGAAACTTGAAGCAAGAAACAAGAGTCTAAAGTTAATAATTGATTAAGAAAACTATATGTGCACTTAGGTGTTGATCATTGAAACCAATTTGATGGTGAGTACTTGTGGTGCTTATTTTTCCATTGGGAAGGAGGAAAGGATGGGTATATACATACATAATGAGTGTGAAGTGCACCATCTGGGGGATGGACACTCTTGAAGCTCTGACTTGGGGACAGGGGAGAACAAGGGCAAAATACGTAAACCTAAACTTTTGTACCTCCTTAATATGCTGAAACTTAAAAACATTTGCTAAGCCCTAGATAGATATCCCTTGGCATTATCTACATCATAGGTTTTACTAGATTCAGATAAGACATCACTTTTCTAAATTTAACTGAAATTAGGTTCAAATTCTTTCCTTTCTCAGATGCTTTCAGTTGATACATACTAGGTATACATACATGGGGCATACGTGTGATAATTGATACATTCATATTAATAGAATCATACAGGATATTTGGGATATCCATCACCTTAATCATTTTTAAATTGTCTTTCATTTCTTCATTGAAATCAGGTACATGTCATTCTAAAGAATATGAGCATCTTTTGCACTACCTGTCTTTTCTTAATTTGCATTTCAAAGAATTTCCATAGAATTTTATAATATGGAGAGTTCCTGCTCTCATTAACTCCACTATTGCTGCAGTGTTTTTATAATAATCTGTCATTTTTAATTTCTTATTCAATCATTCTATTTATCTTGCCCTTCTCACATGAATTCTTCCCCTTCATCCCTTTCTGATCTACATGTCTGTTGAGCAGTCCTTTTGGCTTGCTTTCTAATTCTCTGCTCATACAACAGAACTCAAAGAATTCTTTACTCCCAATCAAACTTCAGAAATCTCAATCTTATACATCTCTCTCTCTTGTGATTACACTTTCTATTATGATCTTGAGGATGTACATTTCTATGATCCTTGTCAGCATGATGAGGATCAGGGGGTGGTATGTGAAAAAAGCATGGATAAAAGAAGGGGTTTTTGTTGTTGTTGCTTAAACTAACTTACCTCTGTGAGACCTGGCTTAGCTGAAGCCTTGAAGGAAGCTTTTACACCAGGGCCAGGTGGTTGAATGGAAGGATGATGAAAGCCCTGCATTTTGACTGATGTTGTGGGAAGGCTTTGAACCACATGTGGATGATTAGAAATACTGTCCTCAATCATGGTTCTTTTTTTTGTTCTCATAGTACATTTCACCTCTACTACCATAAAAATAAAGAGTATATGAAGAGATTTTAAATTAAATAACGATAGATAACACAAGAATAGAAAATCTTCAAATAGCTTACCAATTTTCATGGTGTGCTGAGAAGCAGTGAGTGGCTTTGTCAACCCTGTTTGTAGAACATTCTAGAACAAAAACCGACAGGTTTAAGAGTAACGAGTATCAAATCGGATAAAGTAAAAATAATATTCACCATTACTATAAAATCTAACACAAAGTGCATAGATTGTGGAGTTACTCAGATGTAGACAGAATCCTCAATTCTCTGATTTGTTCCCCTATATCTTCTCATGGGGAGAGGATTATGAGAGCTCATACAGATATCCTCAAAATATTACTCCCTTCACCTCTAGTTCTTTATTGTACAAACATTATGATATCCATTGGACTATATTCTCAAGAAAAATAATCTAGGACAAAAATTTTCCCAGATAGTTTAGAGCATTCTTTGAAATAAGTGACATTAAAGAGCTTACATTAATCATGTCTTATATTTTGACATATGTTCACATGATTAATCTTTGTATAAATTATCTCTTGCCCAGGAATATATCGGAGTTTAGCTTTTAGTAGTACCTTACCCAAAAGGGTCAACATTGTAAATAGTATAAGTCACTTTTATCGTGTTCCTCAAAAAGCTAAATATAAATGATTGTACTCACCCATGGCTTTCAAAAAAAGAGAGAAGTAAACAGGAATAAACCTTGTGTGGCAATAATGGATGAAGGAAAGGCACAGATAGCTACTAAACAGAAAGCTGTAACTAAATATGGAGACACAGAGGGAATGAAAGGACGACACTGAAGAAATGTCTTCTACGAACAAAAAAGTTTGTATCTGCGTAAAACCATTTGTAAAGATAGGGGAGCATGGACAAAGAGACAAACAATAAAAAAGAGACCTTCCCTCTCAATCAATTATGAACATAAATAAAGGAGGAAAAAGAAAAACATTCAGAATGATGAGATACATAAAAAACACTTCTGTTCGTAGCATATACATAATAATAATGGCTAATATTTACTCAAGAGTTAATTTTTTTCTCTACATCTGTAGACTTTAATTTTATTGCTGTAAAATAAGACATTCAAGCAGTTAAATGTGGTCATCTACCACTACCTGAAAGGAAATCTTTATTAGTACAGAGAGGTTAAAAATGGAAACAGAAACATTTCATTAATTTCCACTTCACGAAAAAAAAATTCGCAATCAAAATGCTAAACAGTAATCTGTGGCTTGTAATGATATCATCTACTAAAGATATCTTTGGAAGGCCCCACTAGGAAAAGCATAGAGGGGATAGAGGCAGAATGGCTGACTAGAGACACTGGGCATCAGACCCTGTGAGAAAGAGCAGAAAGTTTGAGATGATAAGGCACAGCCCAGGTGTAATTCTGAGAAAAGAATGCAAGAAACCACCACAGATCCCATGGGAAGAGGTCACAGGGGAGAACAAGGAGCAAGATTCTGGCAGAGACCCTCCCCAGAGGAACTGGAAGCCCCGTGGAAAGGTAAGGTCGGAATGTCTGTTTTCCTCCCCTCACACGCTGGCAGTCTGCAGGCTCTGAATCTTTCAGACAGCTCCCCTCTGCTCTTGAGAACTCAGCACCAGGCTTCCAGCCCCGTGGAAGATGCTCTCCCTCACCATACACCCGAGCACATGCAGTGAGCCACATGCTGCTTTCATGCCCGTTGTGTGTCTTTGTCCTGCCCAGAGAGCTTCAGACTCTCAGTGTCTTATTTTTCTTTTCCATAGACTCACCACAAATATTCCACAACACACACTCAGACAGCCACAGCCACAGTTGGCAAGTGAATCCTGGGTGAACTGTGTGATCCCAAACCTGGGACATTCCAGCCAGGCTGCCTATGGGTCAGAGTGCAGCATAGCATGCCAGAAGGGCTCCTTGGGACATAGGGGACAGGAGTGCCAGGTCTCCTCCTTTTAGACTCTTCTCTTCCTCCTTATCCTCCTCCCCTCCCCTACCCACCGCTGCTGACGCAGCCATGGCCATTTCTGCTCAAGGCTGGCATGGGCACCCCAACGGATGACTATGCCATGGCAATCAGGAGCAACTCCCTCCCCTTTGTCAGTGTTCCCACCATACTCCAGATGCCACAGATAGTGTGCCTCACACCTCTCCCCTTACGAAACTACAATGATCCAAGGGGTACTCTGAGCATGAGGACCCTGCCCACAGGACCTCCCTAGTCCTGCCCTGCCTGGCTGCGCCAGCACAGTGGGTATTACAAGGACATTAATCCTCCCTGAGTACTCCATGGGCAACTTAGGACCAAAATGCCTCTCCCCATCACAGTTTGGGTTTCAACTCGTCAGATGGAAGGCTAGCTCTGCAGGCCTTTCCCATTCCCCCAGGACTCAATCACATCATTCAGGGATGTGGAGACATCTGAACTGACTGAGAACGGAGGGAGCCCACTCAGGCAGAGTTCACTGTGGGTCTGAGCCATAGCGAACTTGCCAACTTGCCCAGTACCTCTCCCCTCCCAGGATGGGCATGTTTTCTGTCAGGGCCAGGGTCCTGTGAAGGGAATCGAGAAGCTTATAGCCTAGAGACGCATTGTTGAAAAATTTAGTTGGCTTGGACTGCTGCCTGTGACCAGATGCCAAGGGAGAACTGCGGGGCAAGGGAAGTGGCAGGAGAATAAAACCCACTCCTGTCTGCTGGACTGTGAATTCCTGACTTCCCCTCCCACATTAGCAGACTTGTTGGCATGGTGGGAACACCCCAGCCCCTAACTGGTGGCTATCCTCCGGGGTCTGAGACATGACCCTCGTCCCCTGCTGAGACCGCATTTATATCTACCTTTGTGGAGCCTGAACATGCTGTCCCAAACCATCCCCACCCAGTCTCACTTGCCTCTCCCCCACAGCTGTGGTGCAGCACAAGAGGGGGTCCCCTGGGCGATCCAGGACCCCATCCATTGCCTGGGACATCGAAGTGCTTCTCATGATTGGTTGAGGCTAAAAACAGGTCCCCAAAACCCCAGTGCAGTGGCCTCTCTCCTGCAAGCAACATATACTGACAAGTCAGTCAACTTGTATGGGTCCCCACAGCATTTACTCATTCCATTGCATAGGATTTGGCAGACTTTTACCCACAGGCACCACCTACTGACTTCAATATTAAACTTAAGGTCCCAATATAATTCATGCCGTTAAGTCTACAGGGTTGGGAAAGAGGAAAGATAACAACGACCTCCACCTCTCCATCTCAACAAGAGGCAGGGATTGAGAAAGAGAATTCAAATTTCTAAATGTTCACAAATTCTTTTTTTTTCTAATTAGGGATAGTCTCACCATGATGCCCAGATAGTCTTGAACTGCTGAGCTCAAACAATCCTCTCACCACAGCCTCCCTAGTGGTTGGGACAATAGGCTCACATCACCATGCCTAGCTAAAGTTCCGGTATTTCTAATACTAATTTAGTCTAAATAGAGCACTAAGGATATTAATAGAGAAAAAGATCTGTCCTAAAAACTATATGATGCCAAAATAACATGTGTCTAAGAGAAAAAAGAGGAACTCTATGCTATGTGCTATACAGTTTTGGAAATAAAAGACACCAGGGACATTCCATGATCACTGTAATAAGCAACGGGACGCATTAAAAATTAATTCGGATATAAGTATTATAAGAGTCATGTCACTATCTATGATCTAAAAGTGACAGTAAGGACTGTATGCAAATAAACCTGGACCAAATTTCATACTTCCTCTACTGTGGGAATACTTTACCTAATATAATTTCCCTGTCACTATGTATTTTCTAGACAATTTTTTTTTTATCCAGCCCCACTCCCTCGAAAGTATTTATCAATCTTTTCTTATTTACCAAAGTAAAAATTTAAAAAAATTTTTTAGAAAATTTTTAGAAAAATATTCAAGGGGTCATATTTCTATCAAATGGTATTCTCTGAACAACTTTCTGTTACAAAGATAATACCATGATAGGTAGACCACTGCTAAATATTATGAGTAAACACTACAGAAAACTAGATTCAGAGCGAAAAAATTAATTTCATAAGAGACCACTTTACCTTGGTATCAACATCAAAGTGTCCAGCAAATGAATCAGGCCAAAAATCATCAATACCTGGCTTGATGGAAATCCTTTAAAGCAAAAATAAACAACAGAAATAAGGCAGGTCATTTCCTTAAAAGAAAACCATTGGCCAGTTCTTACCTGGGCACCCACTCCCAAATAAAACACAAGAATCAGGTGAAAGATCACCTACCACTATATTAAAAGCTGTTTCCTGGTAGAATTAATATTTGGTCTATGATTAAAGAAAGATTTTATTACCTGTTTCTCTCTCCACTTCTCACAATCTAGGAAATATTCAATGAAGACTTACTTCTAGCTCCATAACAATTAGTGACAGCTAATACATGGACAGAGTCTGAGAATAATATGTCTTCACAAATAGCTTGTCCAGTTAATGGCTGACATAACTCGTGTTACCTGAACTGGAACAAATCTGATAACATGAAACAAGGTAGAAAGATAACACCGCCCCTTCTCCATTATCTACCTCTGGTTCAAAGACTAATCTGTATCACTCAAGATTGGCAGTCTTGGACCTTCAGTATGGAAACCCTTTCTGAAGGCCCCATTGCTTCACTTTACCCTTAAACAGCACAAGAAATACTCTAAAACATTTGAAATCTTTGGAAGTTAAATGCACAAAAGTCAAAGAACAAATGCACACACACTGATAATCAGTATAGGGAAAAAAGGAAAAAAACCCAGCAAATGTATATGTTATTAGGAATACTCTTCCCAGAAAGAGTAAAAAATTAAAAATTATAAAATCCAATTATTTCCCCGATATAGGTCCTGTGTTATTCAGGTCCACATAAACTAGCAAGCCCTTAAAACCCTTCATAGGCACTCAGATACTCAAGCAGAGAGACTCCTGGAAAAATAGAATCCTGGTAGTTGTACTTCTATTTCCCAAAGTACTATCTAAACATCTTCCTTCTTATGGGCTCCCATTTCCAGATCCCTCCCTCTTCCTCGGGATCCATGGCAGTCTATAGCCTCTAAATATTCAGCCTAAGACAGCACAGATTCCTGAAAGGATAGGCCCAAATGACCAAGAGCAGATCTCTATTTCCCTGCTCCTAGAAAACAAGTTAAAGGGACTCTCAATCATCCTTTCCCAGCCCAAGCATGTTACAAACTACCCAACTGAAGCTCCATGAGTCATTTCCCAGCCATTCCTACCCCTGACTTCCCTACATGTACACAGGAAGGACATCAGTGAATTGGGAAAAGAGGCAGAGGAGACACCGGACCTGGGACACAAATCTGTATTTCAGGAACCTCCAGACCTTAGTACTGAAGGGACTGTAAGCCAGTCCTCTGTAACTTGGGGTGGAACTAGATGATACCACATTCTGATCTGCTCTACAGATTCTTCCTAAAGTCTTCAAACATCTTTCAATAACAACCTCCAAATCTGTTAGTTCTTCCAATTAAACAACAACAACAACAAAAGCAAGCTTTTCAGGACTCGCTTTGAGTCCTCTATTTTAATATACTCTTCTAGATAACTCCTGACATCTTGTGTCCTTCATTCCTATGATTCAGTCTTTATAAAACTTGTCAGATACCCCAATATTCCAATTTCTTTTCTAAAACGCTTATTACTATACAACCCTGTGTTGTTTCTTTTCGAACTTGGTGTTTCCTTGCTAGTTCCATTCATATCCATTTCCATTGAGTTAATCAGCTAATTCAATTCTTATCCTTCTCCATTGCCTTCACCAGACCCACTCCTCACCCTTTCTATTAATAAAACACTCACCTACAGGATGATAAACAAGGAAGAGTACTGGGCTTTCAATTACGAAACCTGAGTTCACATCTCATTTCTCATACTCAGTATCTCCAAATGAGTCAGTTTAATCTCTTTGACTTTTAAGTTCTCCACCTGAGTAACCACTAGGCCAGGATGTTAAACACAGGTTGAATTCCTAGAGAGTATTTTGCTTGATCTGTAAGATTGTTTAAAATCCTGAAATTCTATGTGCTTTGAATTTGCTCTATAGGAAAATGTGGAAGAGTTAGCTGGCAGAATGGGGAAAAACAAAACAAAACAGAACAAAAGAAATACAAATAAGAAGAGAGGAAAGAAATCAAGACAGTATTAGAGAAAAGTCACAGAAGAAGAAAAAAGATGCCAGGAAAAAAGAAAAATCTTCATGAACTAGGCATGTGCAGTAGCCAAGGACAGTCTTACTGTCTATTTACTGAGAAGTCAGTGAGTACAAAGATCAATCAGAAAAATTCTCTAAATATAGATGCTAAGTATAATTAACAAAACATGGCCTATATGTAGATATCCTTCACTTACAGGAAATTAATTCCTCTCTAAGACTTGCCTGGTCTTGCTTATGCTAAACTTATGGTCCTGTGACCACAGCAAAATAAGATCTGCCCTCAAACTTTTGATGGTAAAAACAGGGACAAGTGTAATTGTTGAACATATCAAGACAAGCTCTTGACTAACCAAGCTTCTAAGAAACACTTTTGAGGAGAGTTAATGTATAACTAAATCTGACTTTCTGCATTGATCTCAGTTGGACCTGTACCTGGATCCCAATGCTGCACAAGTCTCTATCAGTCTATGCTGAGAGGGAAAAGGTAGGATATGAGAGCCAGGCAGGATGCTGGTCAAATCATGGGTCAGCTACTTGCTAACTATGAGATCATGGGACAATTAGTCAACCTCAGAATCACAGTAGGCTAATTCCTAAACAGTAATAGCACAAGCACTTTGCAAAGCATTTGGGATGACTATATCAGATGATCAATGTTAAGTACATGATATGCTTCTAGCCCACAGTAGAATACTCATCAAATATTAGGTTCTTTGCTTTGTATTCCCCTAATGAACACATACATTTTAGAAATATATAAAATCCTACCTGAACATGGGGTCTTCAGCAATCTCATCCATTACTAAAGAAAAAAGTAAAATATACTTTAAACCAGCATTATAAAATTATGGAATATTAAAAGCCTAAGTTGGCACAGTGGCCTATAATACCAAGGTAATTAAGAGGCTGAGGGGAAAGGATTGCTTGAGGCTGACACTTCAACACTGCAGTGTGCTATGATCACACAAAATCACTGGATATACTATATCACTGTATTGCTGATCACAGAGTTCCTCTTATTTATTTCTAATTTTTGTGTTCATTTCTTCTGAAACTAAAAGCATTGTTCACCTACTAAAGGAGCTCTTGACAGAACAAGTCAAAAAGTGCACACAGTTGCATCCGAAGCACAGGATGAGTTATACACTGCTCCGAGACACATGGCTGTGACCATTAACCACTTCCGTATGAGTGTCAGCTATACTCAACAGCCACAAATGAATGCGCACAGCCGAGCGACGCCTATAGTCGACACCCACAGATGAACACACACAGCCCAGCGTCAACTATGGTCGATAGCCACAGATGAACACGCACAGTGACTTTAGTTGACAACTGTGATATGAAGGCACACAGCTGAGTGTCGACTTTAGCAGACAGCGGTGACATGACTTTTCTAATTTTTCATTTATCAAAATAAAATTGTGAACATTTAAAAATAACGTAATGAAAACATATATGTGTATGTTACCTATTCTGATTTACATTACAAGTAAAGCTGCCTGTAAAGTAAAATAAGCTTTCAGTGCTTTAATGTTTTCCTCATCACACAAGAGCAAACGGGATTCATCGTCCATGCACAGCACAAACTACCGTGTGGACTATGAGTGCCGGCTGTGGGCACGGTTTCGCAGCTGGTGAGCGCTGTACCAAAGTGTACCACTAGGACCTCTAACTTATTTGGAGGGTAATGGGGGTTTATTAGATAGATAGATAGATAGATAGATAGATAGATAGATAGATAGACAGACAGACAGATAGATAGATAGATAGATATAGGATATAGATATAGATAGATATAGATAGATGGTTAAAAGTGTGGTAATCCAAACCACCAAGTATTCTAGTTAAATCACAGATTACCAACATCTGAACAAATATAATATCAGAAAAGCACTTCACATGAAAACTATGTCAGACAAAATATATTGTATTTGACAACACAAAAGACACTTAAAATCTTGGCAGACCAACATCAGTGGCACTGTCATTGTGGTACAAATATAAAGACGTTTGCCATTAGAATCTAAAATAATACCAGATGTACTTTAGGATAGGAAGGCAATTGTCTTCATAGGAAGAAATAAACATTTGTCAGACATACATATGTTAGCAATATGTTCTCACACTATTTTTGTTAGAGATGAAATTAAAAAGAAAGCAGCAAAAGAAGAGATATCAGAAGGCAAATAAATGGAAGGAGAACTGCACTAATAAAAAGATTCAGGTACTGACTTTTCTACTGAAGTCACCAGAATTCCCCAAATACTGAGAACCAGTATATTCAGCATATCCTCTTATAGTTTTCTCCATATTTTCTATCAGTTTTCTGCAGCAAAGTATTTAAAAGATGTCAGTTTCTCCAGATTGCAGGTCTGTAATCAATTGCTGACCAAAATTTGAAACCCAGTGAAAAACGTGGCTGTGTTATGATTTCACATCAGAGGGAGGGCATGTGTGTCTCAGGGTGGCTTCCAGTGTTGCTGCCAGGTTTTTGTTTCAGAATGTGTGCACAAGAGCTTATCAAGGACTTGAGTACAAAGCAAATATTTCCACAAGAAGCAGATAAGAATGAAAACACTTCCCCTTACAAGTGATCTTCAGGTTTTAACAACTTTGGAGAAATATTGGCACATAGACTCACCAGTCTAGACAATTTTCCTGACCCTGTGTGAACAGCTGATGTAGTTACAAAACTTTTAGGTAGCATCTTAGAAGATGTATTCTTCCACATCTGGACACTACAAATACCAATCACATACAAAGTAGACCTTACAACTTTAAAAAATTGTTGTTTTGAAAAGGGCACCACCACTGAATGAGAAAGTTGAATCCAACTCACTTTTTAGTCATTCTACTTGTCAGAATTTATAGTCTTCTACTTGAAGTTCTTATGTTTTAAAAGAATTTTTATAACATAACTTCCTCTGATTCCTCTCCTACATTTCTCTACCCACATCTAGCCTGCCATATGGTTATTTAAACAAAGTTTTATTGCGGCACACTGATGCCTATTTGCCTACCTCTTATCTAGGACTGCTTTCACACTACAATGATAGGGTTGTGTAGATATGACTGAGACCACCTGGCCTAAAAGATTTACTACCTGACCCTTTACAGAAAAAGCTTGACCATCCCTGCTTTACATCATAACCAGAATGCCCTCATACTCAATTCTAATCTTGTGACTCCCAGCAATATGGAACTGCTCACAAACCCACAAAGTTGACTCATGTGTCTCAGCTTTTGCACTTGTTATTCTTTGGCCAAACATGCAATCCTCCTAGGTGTTCCTTCTGCCAAGCACCATCTTTCTGCCTCTTTACCTGGCAAACTTCTACCCACTCTGCCTTGCTTACCTTAAATACTATTCATTGTTTTAAAGCATAAATTCTGCATGATAGACTTAAAGTGTCTGGCACATATTTAATGTAAGTACAAGGTAAATGATGATTATATCAATAAGCTGCCAGAGAGCATTTAGCACACAGTAACCACTGAATAAAGTAGTAAATAATAAAAATAACAATTAAAACAAGCTCCTGACTGTATTTTTAAAATGTATGTGTTTAGTTATATCAGAACAATACTTACCGCCCAAAAGACATTTGATAGTTATTTGTGAAGTGGGCAAGTGAATGCAATGAATAAAAATGGTTTGATAATTCTGTTGAAGAAACACAGAAATAAATAGGAACAGGTCTATTCTATTACAAGCACCTCAAAGACCAAAACTATATCTACACCATCTTTGTCTCCTGCAGCTTGCAATACCTAAACTATGGAATTTATTTGGTAAATATATACTAAATTAAAGGTGTCCTCATATACTTCAGATTGTACAAGCACGTAGGTGTCCCATCTAGGTAGCACAGTAGCATTTTTGTTATGGTGAAATACTTTTCTACTTTTATTATAATTGGTTGAGCCCAGGGTTGGGACACTGGAATATTTCTAATGAAAACCTTTTGTCTTATGGACACAAAGTCACTGTTATCATGACAATTATCCACTAGATACGAGAACACATTCTGTCCTAGTGAAGTAAATACATCTCATTCGGTTTCAACCTATGGGGAATGAATTCAATAATAGTGAGACCTTGTTGGTATAACGATTTCTAACATATACTGTGCTTCTCAACAAAAAATTGTTTTTCTGACTTCTGTACTCAATAGGTATCTTTATAAAACAATCTACTGACTGGGTATGGTGGCCCATGATCCTTGTAATGGTAGCACTACAGAAGGCTGAGGCAGGAGGATCCTTGAGGGCAAGAGTTCTAGACCAGCCTGAGCAAGAGTCAGACTCCGTCTCTACTAAAAATAGAAAAAATTAGCCTGCCAATTAAAACTAGAATGAAAAAATTAGTTGGGCTTGGCATGCACCTGTAGTTCCAGCTACTCAGGAGGATCATTTGAGCCCTGGGGTCTGAGGTTACAGTGAGCTATGATGAGCCTACTGCACTCTAGCCCCTGCACTCTAGCCTGGGCAACAGAGTGAGACCTTGTCTCCAAAAATAAATAAATAAAATAAAATTGTCCTATTACTATTGGTGCACACTGGCCATAATTTGCAGTTAATATTGTCATTTATTTACGCTATCAGAAAGGTATTTTTGAGTTCTCAGTTTTAAAAATAGTTACTTTTCTGTGACACAAATCACTATGTAATATAAAGTGACCCTTTGACAACAGATGTTTGAACTGCAGGGGTCCACTTATATGCAGATTTTCTTCTGCTCTGTCACCCAGAGACAGCTGGACCAACCTCTCCTATTCCTTCTCTTTATCAGCCTAGTCAATCTGAAGATAAAGAGGATAAAGATCTTTATGATGATCCACTTCCAGTTCATGAATAGTAAATGTATTTTTTCTTCCTTATTATTTTCTTCATAACAGTTGCTTTTCACTAGCTTACTTAATTGTAAGAATACAATATATAATAGATATGACATACAATCTATATGTTAATTAACTATGTTATCACAAGGCTTCCAGTCAACAGTAGGTTATAAGTAAAGTTTTGGAAAGTAAAATGTTATATACAGATTTTCAAATGAAAGGGGGATTGATGTCCATAACCCTCGCATGGTTCAAGGTCAACTGTAACTACTATTCACTAAATGGAAACCATTTATTATAAAAATTAAATAGAAGATGCATTTTTATACCAAGTGCAATTCATTATAATGTGACTGGAAACATGGAACATGGAACGTATTAACTTAAAAATCTACCTTCTTATTTAGCCAAAAATATCAAACAGAATTTTAGGGACCATAATTAAATAAATGATTTTTTTCAGACAGTACTGTTTGAGATAATAAATGATATATGCCTAACTTAAAATAATTCTGCATTGTAGACTACTAAAAAAAATCAAGAAAAAATATGCATGCAGTTTACACATTGACTTTATAACTCCTCTTTTATACTGAAAACTCCATTATTCTTACTTAAGTACCTATTGTCCATCCACCTAAGAGGCTTTCACTGTCAGAGGCTTACCTGGATTGCTAATTTGAGAAGGATTTTCCAGAATCTTTTCTTCTTCATGTTGTGAAATTTGTTGGGAAATGCTATGTATAAAAATGTAATAAATAAAATTACTATTTTAATACTGACATGAAAATCATTTACCAAATAAATTAAATTCTTAAGAGTATTTCGGACAATAACAAAGCTATCATACTAACAGAACTTTAATTATCCTATATACCTCAAATTTGTAAGCTTGACAAACTTCTTATTAAGCTTCTAATTAAAGAAGAAAAGTAAGGTGAAATCCTCATGAAGGGAGGGCAGTATAGATCAGTCAGTTAACTACAGGTCCCTTGACATGATACAAAGTGTCCTGAACTCAGAAGAAGTCCTCGCTCTGTAAGCAACAGCTACTTGTTCTTGGACAAGTTCCTTGTCTCAGGCTCATTGTCTTCTAAAAATAAGGATTTTACTGTCTTAATCTACTAGGTTCTTAAATAATATTTAATGAGATAACATTTTTACAATCCTCAGAGAGACAGGGAAACAATGAAATAATTTGTCCTTGAACTTTATGGCTGAAATGATTTTGGAATCCCAAACAAAACACAATTGTATTTTTCCATAGGTACTAATACTCAAATGATACAGTTTTCAGAAAATATTACTAAGTTCTACCCTTGTTTATTACTTGTTCTACTCTTTGTGGCTTGTAATTCAGTACATTTCAGCTATTTCATAATTTTAACAAAATTCATTATAAATCTTACCTCATTAAATTAGATAACATAATTGTCCACTGTTACTGAGCTAATCAAAGACAGCAAGGGCAGAAAATTAATGGATCTCAAAACCTAGCTTGGACTATTACTCTTCCTCCTCTACCTATTCAAACTCTAAACCAGCAGATCTTTGTTAGAATGATGCTTAATCTCCATGCTCATCTCCAACTGATGTGGAAGGCAAAACCCTACTTTTATTTAAGTTGAACAAAGGTGATACAAGTTGACATTTTCTCTTTTCTAAGTACTAACAACATATTTGCACACAACATTCCACATTACTGAGCTCCATTGTCATTTCATAGATCACATAATGGGAATATTTCTGTACTGAAAGTCACAACACAATTATAATATTGGGTGTCACCCATTTTGCCTTGACACACACTGTTACCTTGGAGCTAGTCAGCAAACAGGTGAATGATGTTTCAGGGACTGCACAAAACACGGAATGCTTCACCAATTTGCATGTCTGCCTTGGGCAGGGACCATGCTAATCTTCTCTGCAGGGTTCCAATTTTAGAATATGTGCTGCAGAAGCAAACACGAAGCCCTACTTTTCTATGTGGATACTGATGAGTCATGGGTGAGGCTTGGCTCTGTGAAATCCAACTATTCTACTTTAGATTCAGAGAATTCTGTTGAATGGCTTTCTTGTTAGGTAGAATTTGAAAATAATTTTAAAATGTGACATACAGATGCAAGTGGCTTGGGAGGTTTTCAGTATTACGATAAACAGGTCACTTGCCAGGCCAACTGTGAGTTGGTGCCCACTACTCTGGGGAAGGACAATATGGGAACTTCTACTACCTAAGAAAAGGTGCTACATGGGGTAGACAGGGGCCTCAGGGTACAGATGTGGTAGCAAAGAAGTAAGGAAATTCTCATCTCTTCCTGGAACTTTATTTGAACCTCTCTGACACTTTAGAACAATCCCAACTGCTACTTGCTATAGAAAAGACAAACAAAGGCCTCAAAGAATAACTTACCATTACCTTTGAGGCCTTACTCAGAGATCTAGGCTAAGTCTAGGCTAACATCAGGGCTCCACAGAAGGTTCTGAGTGTGGGGGAAAGTTCAATTTGCTCACTACATGTGTGGCTAAAGCTACGAGGCCCGGCTGCCAGAGCAGAGCACTGGTGCTTTGGGAATGATGGCTGAGTAATTAAGCATTCGAATGTGAACTTAAAAAAGTAGCTCTGAAGTCTAAGTATGTATCACCATGAAGACTGAGGGATCTGGATCAGTGAGGGCATCCTGGTAGCAAAGGTCAACCCTCCCAGACTGCAGGACCAGTCTCAATAGCAACAAGGCAGCAACAGAATGGACAGAAACAGCAGAATGATTAAAATGTCCTTTTATTCCCTTCCTTTGTTTAGATTTTACAAATTTTTTTAGAGATAGGGTCTCACTCTGTCACCCGGGCTGGGATGCAGTGGCATAACCATAGTTTACTGGAGCTTCAAACTCTTGGGATTAAGTGATCCTCCTGCCTCAGCCCCTTGACTAGCTTGGAATACAAGCATGTATCACCACTCATGCCTATGTTTTTTTGTTGTTGTTGTTAGACATGCGGTCTACCTATGTTGCCCAGGCTGTTCTTGAACACCTACACTCAAGTAATCCTCCAGCCTCACCCTCCCAAAGCGTTAGGATTAGAGCCACCATGCCCAGCATTTCCCTCCTTTAGACTTCCAATCAGGTCTGTCTTCCTTGCACTTAAGGAACCCCTTAATTTCTTGAAAAATTCAAGCAGGAAGGAGGGTAGAGGACATAACCCCCAGAGAACAATACAAGATTTTCTATTAAAATGGACCTTTCAAGACCCAAATAACAAATTAGCAATATCAAACATGTGCAATAATTTTTCTCCCCATGAATATGGGTTATACTTGGAATGGAAAGTACAACATTGGGATCCCTAACAATAAAGGTCTTAAAAGTCATGGGAAAAAGAATTCTTCACCCATTGCTTCTTCTATCTAGTCTAGTCTTTTGTTTGATTTCTGGCTGATGAAGTGAACTAATTCTTTGCCATTCCAAAACTACCTGAACCAAATTATGAAATCTCACTCACCTGATGTTTAAGATATTGTACTTCTAATTATGTTAAACCTCAATTTCGTGTTAACTAGTCTTTTCATGTAAACACTTACCTATTAAAACCACTAGTAACAGTGTCATCTTCTACAGTCTGTCCTATGACTTGATCAGAACACACATTAAGACTTTGCTGAAGAAGATTGATTATATGTGGTGATTGAGAATCTGTCGCAAGCATGAGAGCATTTCTAAAACAACAAAGAGATAACTTCAACCTTCGGAGCTTTAGTAAAATTACATCAAAGGTTAGCTTGTTAGGCTTTACCCACTTAATACCTTGCTTGTTAGTACAGAATTAATCATTTACATGTACTAACAGACTTAAGCATCTTGAGTGCTCAAGTGCTCATCTTTGTAAATTAACACCAAGGCTAAAAGGAAGGGAGAAGAAGGAAGCCTCTTATCTGCTCCACAGGGATATGACAGTAGAAGTTGCTAATTCTTTGCTGAGATCACTTATCTAAAGTAGGCAACGAATTAAATGAGGAATTCTCTATGTCTTCCTTAGTCTGATATAATATATTGTATTATGCACAACCACCCTGAAAGGATATATTATTATCCTTCTTTTCACATCAGAAAACCTATATGGTGATAAGTCATGTTCCCAAGATCATAAGCCTAGTGAGTCAGGAAGCCAAGAATTAAATTGTCTTGTATGACTCTAAAGCCTCTCTCTTTTCTCTTTGTCATCCGCATATGGTTTGCCTTCGTTAAAGGAAAAGTTTGCCCAATTTAAGCTTTCTTCCCTCTGCCTATAACAATTAAAAAGAAAAGCATCAAAGTACCACTAGAAATGAAAAAGAAAAACACTCATGAACCCACACTATCTGGTAATAGGAATAAAATCCTTTAGGGATTAACCTAACATCAATATTCTTCAAAGAAAACAACTTAAAGCAGAATCATCCAAATGACAAAATGATTTTCAACTCCAAGTTATGTTTACTATAGAGCATTTTAAAAGAAGTACATAAGAAGCAGAGGTTTTAAAAAATGCTATAAAAGCATTAAGAAATTCAGTATTTCTGACGAGGATGTGGAGAGACAGGAACACTCTTACACTGCTGGTGGGACTGCAAATTAGCGCAACCTCTGTGGAAAAGAATTTGGAGATACCTCAAACAGCTAGAAATAGCAATACCATTTGACCCTGCAATAGCATTGTTGGGCATCTACCCAAAAGACCATAAGACATTCTATTATAAAGACATCTGCACCGAATGTTTATGGCAGCGCAATTCACTATTGCAAGGTCATGGAAACAACCCAAGTGCCAGTCAATTCAGGAGTGGATAATTAAAATTTGGTAATATGCTCACATTGGAATATTATTCAATTCTAAGAAACGACAGTGAGCTAGCACCATTTATGCTATCCTGGATTAAGCTTAAGCCCATTATCCAAAGTGAGGCGACACAAGATCAGAAAAATGGGCTCCACATCTACTCACCATCAAATTGATACTGACTGATTAAAACTATGGTACTCAAATAGTGGTGGTGTTCACCAGGGATGGGGGGGGCGGTGGGGACTCACATCCTAGGGATGTGGCGAGCATTGTTGGGGGGAAGGGAATACCTCTAACCCTTCTTAGGAAGAGGCAATGATATACAATGTAACCAAAATGTCAAAAAAAACCCACCCCAAAATCAGAAGTATTTTGATCACAGGTAATAGAAAAAGACAAAAAAATAAAGGTAATTATATATTTATTTAAAATAAAATAAAATAAAATAACCCAAAGTGTTATCAGGTGGTGGGCAGGTGGGAGAGGGGAAGAGGGAAAGAGTGTATACTTACATAATGGGTGCGGTGCGTACCACCTGGGGATTGGATATGCTTAAAGTTCTGGCACAGCGGGGTTGGGGATGGCAGGGGCAATATATATAACCCTAACAATATTTGTACCCCCATAATATAATGAAATAAAAGGGAAAAAAAAAGAAATCCGGTATTAAAGCAGAAAATGAACTAAATACTCCACTCTTCAGAAGACTATAAAAACTAACAGGAAACCCCTTTGGCTAATATAATGTCATATCATTAAAAACATTAGATTATAAATAATAAACATCACTCACTATTATAAAAGCAAAAAATCCTATTGTGTACTGTTCTTTTTTTTCTTTTGAGACAGAGTCTCGATTTGTTGCCCAGCCTAGAGTGAGTGCCATGCGTCAGCCTAGCTCATAGCAACCTCAAACTCCTGGGCTCAAGCAATCCTGCTGCCTCAGTCTCCCGAGTAGCTGGGACTACAGGCATGCGCCACCATGCCCGGCTAATTTTTTCTATATATATTAGTTGGTCAATTAATTTATTTCTATTTATAGTAGAGACAGGGTCTCGCTCTTGCTCAGGCTGGTTTTGAACTCCTGACCTTGAGCAATCCACCCGCATCGGCCTCCCAGAGTGCTAGGATTACAGGCGTGAGCCACTGCGCCCGGCCCTGTATACTGTTCTTTACGTTGCAAGGTCCAAATAATTCCTTTTCTACTTAACTGGATCATTTGTATGGATGTTTCTCACTATATCTCAATAATTATAAGTTCAGCTTCTCATTAAGATAATACTTCTGACGTCAGTGACTGTTAACCATCTAGAATAACTCTCAGGTTTATTTAAAAAAAAAGAACTAACCACTGTACCTTTTCAACTTATCAACTGCATTTATATTTGCTCCAGCCTTTACTAAAAAGTCCACCATTTCCTCTCTTTTTTCACTTACAGCAAGTAAAAGTGGTGTGATGTGACTCTGTAAGGCAGCAAAACAATTTATCACTCACAAAATTACATATTTATCAGTTGAACTGAAAACCTTATATAAGATTCTATGAACCTAAACGTACAGTACAGAAAGGAAAGCAAAGGTATTCCTTTCCTGCTCACCCCTCTGTGCCTTCCATGTGCTGCTCCCTCCCCTGGAAACACCCCTCCTCTGCCTCTCCACATTAACTCCCACCATCTCCACAATCACTTCAAACATTCATGGGTGGCAAGGATCTTTGCTTCTATCACAGCATTTATCACAGTACACTGCCATTATGTTATTGTTTCCCATCTACACCAACAGCTTCTTGAGGGCAGGGGCTGTATCTTTTATTTCCACATCCCCGAACCCTAAGACATAGTAGTAAATGCTTTAACTATTTTTATTGAATTAAGGATCTAAGTTATCTCCACAACAGTGTTTCTTAAATGACACTCCAAAGAATATCTACTTTACCAGAAGTTAAGGACTGTACCTCAACAGAAAGATTCCATGGCCGTCTACTTTAAAGAAATATTACAAAACTGTGCATTACATGACCAGTACCAAAGAAATCTCTTGAACTTTGCCTAATCTCTTGAATTTGCCAATCCTAAGACTGGACAACAATCTTTGTGGCAACATTAACATGTAAGGAATTAGGCCCTCAGGGATACTTCTGAGAGCTTTTCAGCAAAGGTGGAGGTTTCCTCCAGGTGACACAAGCTCACTTGATTCACCTCCCTCAATAGTGTGAGGAACCCAGGTGCCAACAGCAGGCCAACAGCTGGATCACTAAAGAACTAGGCTATGAATTAAGAGATAGGCTTCAAAGCAACTTGGATTCCTTACTATTAAATGGTCCATGTGGCTTCTCCTATGACAAGATGATTCATTTTTAATAATATTTTAGTTCAGTCTGAAATTTTCTTCTCAACTATGATGATAATCCTGGGACCGTAATGCATATTTACTTTAGTTTAATCTATTTTTATTGTGGTTTCCATTTTAATAGCTATATACAATGATGTTTTATCTTAGGAAAAATATAAATCATGAATAAAAATACAATGGCTTATCAATAAAAGTTCTAATACTGATCTATATGGATTTTTCTAGCATAATGAAAGCCTCTAAATCACTTGCCTTGTCAAGGGACAATGCTCAGGAGAAAGATATGATGTGGTCTGCAACATGCATAACCTATCCAGCTATAACCACGCTTAACCTAAAAAGGCTTAGAGGCATCCTAAGGAGGGTGAATATTTATGATATACATAAAGAAAAAGAGTGTTTAAGCAAACTTCTAAATTCTTACATTCAACTCCACTACTAAAGGACTAATATATAACATACACTATATAGTATGAACAAGTATAAACTCTCATAAAAACCTTCAAATATTAATCAAAATGTACTATCAAACAGGACTTATACACTCAAATACTTACAGAGGCAAAGTAGGTGACCTGAGAAAGAGAAGTACCTGGGGGGCACAGGAGCGGACTGGAGAACATACACCTCCTCTAAAGGGGCAGCCTCTGTACAACTTACCACATGGAAACATGGGCTTCAGGGACACCAGATTTGATTCACTAGGAATAGCCTGAAATTCAGGTTTCTGCAAGTTCCCTAAATTTTACACATTAACTCAATTTATGGAAGCAAACTCAACCTACCTACAGGCCCCACTTAGACTACAGCCCTTGTGTTTTTAACATTTGCTATGGATATTTCCAAATGGTTGTGCATAAAGCAAGTACTTACAGATAAACGCTTTCCTTTCTTTACCATCATAGGTTTTACCAAAATATCAGGCCTAACATGTAATAAAAATTGCTACTAAGACTCATAATAACTACTTCAAGAATTTTTAAAACACCTATTCATTTACAATCTATTGGTATTTGATTTTCCCAGATTGGTAACCAACTGGATAATTAGTTCATAGGGCTGCTGAAACAAAATTATTAAAATAATTCCTATCCTCTATTCTTATGAGTGTCATTGTTTTCCATGTTTATAACTGCCATCCTGATTATACTCAAGCTCTAGGAACACAACGGACGCACTGAGATAATCCATAATACAACCTAATCACCTGAACACTAGCAAAGAGACAAGAACACCTAAAAGAGTCCACCTCTACTTACTGAATGGCTGCCCATAAACAAATTTCTAAAGATCCTCTGAATGGCAGTGAATGATTGACGGTTAGAAGGAAAAGGCTGTTATTCCATAAGCTGATAGATATTACCAATAATATTCTTTTTAATTTAACAACCACAGAGGTAGAGGCAGACAAATGTCAGGCTAATAATATTGGAAAGGAGAGATTTTGAAGGAAGTAGCACTTACCAAACTCCAAATCTTCTAGAGATTTCTTAAGTTTTAAAATATGGGAATTTATATTTTATATTTATCTATCCAATGTTTTAAAACAAGAGTGTGTCAGAATCTTTAGGGGAAAAAATTCTTTTTGGTTAGAGAGAGGTTCTCACTATGTTGCCTATGCTGAACTTGAACTCCTATGCTCACGTGATCCTCCCACCTCAGCCTCCCACGTGTCTGGGAGTACAGACACGTGCCACTGTGCTCAGCTTTGAGGAAATATTTTTAAATATACATGTTCAGGCCTTACTAGATTTACTAAATCAAAATCTTCAGGAGAGAGTCTGTAGATTTGTTAAAAATTTCTGCATGTGATGTAGAAATGTACAATTCTAGCTGAGATGTACAATTCTAGCTGAGAACTAGTGCAGCAGGTAATCACTTTGGTCTCATTTCTCACTCAAATGGCCAATTCCAATTATCACTGGAGACTTGGTCAAAAACAGGAAAGAGCACCAGACTGCATTTAATTTTCCTGCATATGGGTATAGTAGGGACTAATAAACTCAAAATGCACCTGGATTTTGCTATTTATAAGCTCTTTATCTCCCGCCTCCCCATCAAGGTATTCCAGTAGACTCTTGTCTAAGTGGCTATTTCTGCAAGAATAGGATAATGACTCAGCTAATTATTCATTCTTCCCTCTTCTGAGGCTTCCCCCCTTCATCAACACCTATTCACTGCCAATCTGGCTTCCTCAACGATCTCCTGAAACTGATCTTTAGGCAAGTTTACAACTCACTAACTCTTTCTCAAAAAGAGAATTCTTATTCTCGAAACTGAACATCACTTGCTTTACATATATAAACTGGAAACAAACGCACAAATACACACACACACACACACACACACACACATCTCTTCTTGGTATTTCCCCTCAATGATCTAATTTCCAAACTAGCCTGTATATGACTGGTCTCCTTTTCCCTTTCCATTTGTCCCTCTTAAACTTTGCCACTGAGAGATAAATCACTTTTACACAAATCACTTTTTTAAGGAACTTGTCAGTTGCAGCAAGACTTCTGTTTATTATAAAATGTGTTAGATAAAGCCTATCGCCAGGGCAAATTTCACTTTCCTGTGCTGGTTTACGCTAACCAGAAAAAAACCCTTGGGTTGGAAAAGATTCTTGGATAAATACATTTTACCTTTAACAAATTCAGTGTTGTCACAAACATTGACCATAAGTGCGCAAAGAAAGTTGTACTGGCTAATGCTTCTTTAAAAGTATCAATATTTAAAGCAAAACCTTAGACAATTAAGTTATTTTAAAATATATTCATTCAGGGAATGCTTGAGATCCCAAATATGGAAAATTGACAGTTACATATGCCAATGTTAAGACAAATGCATTTCAAATATTTTGAAAATAAAGTTGGTTGATCTATACCTTATTTTGGGGATCAATAAATGCACCGTTTGAGAGCAGTTTTTCTGCTATTGATACATCCTGCTGATAAACAGCATAGTGAAGAGCAGTGTTGCCATAGACATCTTGAATGTTTGGCTTGGCACCACCTTCCAGCAGAACAGTCACACATTCCTCCTCTTGGCATTGGACGGCCTGTCAGTATTAGACCAAGAAATAGATAGTAAATTCTAGGAAATCAAAATTAACTTTCTACAGATCACCAAGTCATATTTAAGGGAGATATATTCATTTTATTTTATGTATTAAAATCAAATCCATCTCATGCTGAAATAGCTGGCTGCTATATACCTTCATCAGAGCTGTCCTCTTTTTGCTGTCAAACAAGTTAAGTCGGCACTTGCTGTTTACCAGGAATCTTACCACTTCTGCCTGACCAGTGGCACAGGCCAAATGTAGAGCGGTCCTATGAAAGTGAGAGGACGTTTTAGGAAATTGTAGTGCATTATGTCAAAACACAATGATTCACATAATTGTAAACAATAAATAGCATGTGATTCCTTGGCCTTCAAAACAAATATCTGATGTTCTTGTGAAGAAAGTATAATACTTTTTAGCTCTTAAAACTCACTACATTAATGAAAAAGCAGCCTACTGGAAGAGAACGGGCTTGGCCTTTGGATTCAGTTCAATTTGGGTTTGAATCCTACTTTAAGCTTGTTACTTACTAGCTGTCACTTAGCCTTTCTGTGCCTCAATTTCCCTATCAATAAAATGGGGACAAAAATAGCCGATATCTCCACAAGACACCAGGGTGATGTTAAAATGAGAATCTATACAAAGTATTTAGAATTGTTCCTAGAGCAAATAGCAATTCAATGATTGTTAGATATTATCATTATTACTATTAATACTACTTAACAAAGACAACACTTGAATTAAGTAAAATGATACAATTATACCAACTCTGTGGTTTATTTTAAGAATCAGAGATAACCCTGTAGTTCAAAGATTCTAAGATGCTCATTTTCTTACATTTCAACATCTCTGATGTTAGAATGCTACTTGTTATTCATGATTTATTTAAAACATATTGAGCAGCATTTTAAACATTCTCGTATTGATAAAAACATAATGGGGAATTGTACAATCCATAGTGTCTCACTTTAAGGGAAATATGGTACATAAACAGGTCTATGGTAGTTCTAATCATATGATTGACATTTAATAAATTTTACTTCTTAACAATACTATGGGAAAAGAAGGCTGAAAGAACAACAAAACTTTCTAAAACAAAGTAGGGTTGTTTTTTTTTGGTTTTTTGTCTTTGATAAGGTCATTTATTTCAGCTGCTGAATACTTAAGAACATATATATAGAAGTGTTTGACCTTGGAAATTCATATGTGCAGGGACTGTTCTTCCTTTGGGCTTCTATTTGCTGCTGACAGTTGTAGCTTAGGTGTGATCACTTATCATCCTTTTTATTTATTTTTATTTCAGGATATTATGAGGGTACAAACATTTTGGTTACATTTTATGATTTTGCCTCACCTAAGCGAGGATTAGAGGCAAGCCCTTCCCCTCTACAATGCTCACCATGTCCATTAGTTGTGAGTTTACCCACTCCCCCAATCCCCTAATCCCTGGAGAAGTAGTTCTTACTTTGATTTTCAAAAATCCTTAACACAAAGGAGAGTCAGGAATGGGTCAAATGAATGGGTATGGAAAATCAAATGAAAAGTCAAATGAATGGGTATTGCTCATTTTTTTCAATATTTAGATTTATAGAATGTATGCAAATCAGATATGTCCAGTGTTAACATTAGCATTTAACACTGCTACAAATTTTAAAAAGGCAATTAAAGGTGATCTTTTACAATTTTCTACCTTAAAAATTCTTTTGTTTGAAGGGAGGGAGGAAAAACTTTGACTGAGATTAAGTGCTAATCCTCTAATTTTAAATCTCTCAACTTGCTCAGGATGGGCAGATGAACAAGAAGTTTTTAGGGGTGGGTGGGTCCTGAGAGATAGTAGAATATGCCTGCTACATAACAGGTATTCAGGTTATGTTTGATGATAGGTGGATTGAAAGAACGGATAAATTGAGTTGAAAAGTTCAACAGTTTGAAATAAAACTCTTAGAAAGTAAAGCAATACTTTTGCAACAAGAATGACCATTTCTATATGCTACTTTTTTCATGTTCTTAAGAGTACAACTAAAATAAAATGATTCATCTATAACTGTTTACATATATGTAATAAATCTATAATAAAAATATATGTATATGATCACATGTATACACAATAAAAATTTACAAGCACAGATGAAAAGATTCCCTTTACATCTGAAGAGGCTAAAAGTAGGCAGAAGATTCCAATACACAAAAAATAAAAATAAAAAATAAATTAATAGAAACTAAGAAACTATTTCTATCTGCATAAGATTCATATTTCTACATTTCCCAGGGATATAAACTTTTACTAGAACTTTTATACATGCTCATTGCAGAAATCATAGAGGAGAAAAAAGGAAAAAAAATTCCCCTTATAAAACACATGCACAGAAGTAACAAATTTTATCACATTTTAAAATATTTTTGGTTAAGGCAACATCATACTATGTGTGTATGTTTAATCAAAACGATGTTTTCCTCGCTTGATATACTAAATACTTCTCACATGTCAACATACATCTGTATCTATGCTCACCTTCAATGGTCACATATTATTCCATCCTATGGATGTACTGGAATTTATTTATAGAATTCATTATATGGGTTCTTCTTAATACACTGCTATTTTTAACAGTGCAGAGAAAAACAAATTGCATGTATATCTAATTATTTCCTAAGAATATTTTTGTACAATGGAATGACACACTTTGTGGTTAGAAAACAGTATTTTATTCCTTTCTTAAATCAAAAGCCTTCTCTTAGAAGGGACACTAAATATTTTGTCCTATGTAGATAAGTTACTTGTAGGTCTGTAACAAAGTACTGTGCCCAATTTTTAAAAATTAGAGTTCAGGTTTTTTTCTTGCTGATTTGAAAGAATTCACTGTAAAATAAACATACATTTTTCATCTGATATACACATAGGTGTGTGTATGTTTGTGGCAAATATTGTGCATGTATGTTGTCTTTTAAGTTGTTAACTTTTTTTCTGATATAAGGGGGTTTAAATTTTTTTCCCACTAAATCAACCTTCAGAATGCTTGCTTATAAGTTCCTTCTTAGGAAAGTATCCATCAACATGAAAATGTATTGGAATGAACAGGGATTTGTGTACTCTTCTAATACATTCCTTATTTCCTAGTTTTAAAATTCATGATTTTTATGCCATCAGGAACTTATTTTTGTGACATAAAAATCTATCTAGGGTTCTCCAAACAGGTAGCAGACATTTCATTTATCAATAATTAATCTTTGTCTTCTAATACAAAATGTCACCATTATCAAGTTCTAAATACTTGTATATATTTTTGGGTGTTTCTGGATTTTCTAGTCTGTTCCCTTCATTTATCTATCTCTTCAGCTGTTAGTAAATCATTAACCTATGGAAATTCATGGCATCTTTTCACATCCAGAAGGGCAGGTTTTGCTCACTCCATTCCAAAATTTCCTTCATATTATCACGATAGTAAAAGACAGACACCATGTGTCACTCAAAAATTTTAAAACCTTTTTATTTATTTGCTTTATGTAGAATTGATAAATACAGAAAGAGCTCACGCTTTCAGAAAAATGAGTTTTCCTCTTCAAGAACACAGAATTATCTCCTCACAAAGTTTCCCTCCAAGTTCCCTCAGTAAAGAACATATATACACAGGTGTACCTCCATATGAAATGGAAATTGGATTTTATGTGAAAACTTTTTGCTCAGAAGTCAATATAGTATGGGAATTATTTCTCTCCTTAAGCACCTTTCAATAATGCATATAACATGTTCTAAAATGTGAACATTAAAAATAAATGCTACCTATACTTAATTTTGTTTGTTAAATCACTTTAAAATTGTTAACAAAGTGCTCTAGTAAGAGAACGAGGAGTGCACTGGAAACCAGTAAAAGTTTTGTTTTTGTGTTGCTGCTTATAAAGATGGTCTGGGCAGAGATCCCTCCAAAGCTTTCCCCTCCCAGGTGCTGCGGAGCCTGTGGAGGGAGGAGAGTTCAGCCCCCTCGTGGACAGGAGGGCCCCTCTGGCCAAGGCAGGGAAGGAGCGTTTCCCCCACACCCGCCCACTCCAGCCCCCGGACCCCATCTGCAGCCCCCAGTTCCCATTACCTGCTCTTCCAATCTCTGTCGTTCAGGCACATTGGGCGAAACGAAAGAATGTCCTGCAGTTTCGCTACATGACCCAGGCAGGCAGCCAGGTGGAACTTCTCGAGATCTTTGGGATAGATGTCGTACCAGGTCTTCGTGTAGGCCTTCTCAGGAATCTCATCCCTGGCGCCCACCACCGCCTTCCACATGCTGCCGAAGAAGGGCGACTCGCCCTTGCCCTTCTCTCTCCCGAAGGCAAAGAACTTCTTCATGGCGCCGGTTGTGCGCTTTGGGACACCTCACCTCCCCATCTCCCCCCAACCCACACACCCCGTTCCTCCCCGCCCCACGGCGCAATCTAAGCCAGAAAACCCGGTCTGGCCACAAGCTCCAAGAAAGTCTCTGACACCAAGTAAACTGACAGGCAAAGCAGAGCGGAACTAAGCCAAGTGGAGCCAACCAGAGCCGTTAGGCACAAGTGCGCGTGCGTACCTTGGGAAGCGTCCCTGCGCACGCGCGCCAACTGGCGGAGGAAACCGTTTTACCCCCCGCAAAGCAGGCTGGGGTTGCCCAACTCTGAGGCCCTGGTGGTGTGGTTCTGGCTGCCACAGCTTGGATGCTTGCGTGAGCTGGCAAGGCTCGCCACGGGCTGCCTCTGGGTCCCTCTGCAGCTTGAGTGTCTGCCTGCCCGGCTGGCGGAGCTCACCGTGAGCAGCTTCAGGGTCCCTGAGGGCACCACCCGCCCTGCGTGTGGGCCTGCAGCCTGTTGTAGCGCCGGCTGCCGCGCACTTGCTCATACTCAACCTCCATAGCCCGGGCCGCGCCTACGCTGGGCACGCGGTCGTCACCGGGATCTGTGCTTAGTGGCCAGTTCCTGCTTCTGTGCCCCTGGATCCTCGGCTGACTGCCTGGCTTGGCCACTGCTGCTGTGCCATCTGGCCGGAGGTCCCCGCCGCCACTGCTGCCACTGTTCCTGCCTGGCCAGGTTGAGAGTTGCTGGGCCACCGCTGCTTCCGCTCTGCCAGTCTGTGCCCCGGCCGCCAGCGAGCATGGGGTAGCACCTGCGCCAGCTGATGGCCGAGAAGAGCTCCCTGAAGCCTTCCTTCAAGAGTGCTCTGTCGCCGTGTCAGAAAGGAGAAGGCAAGTAGGCGGATGGAGTGATTAACAAGAACATGAAGCTGGGACAGAAAGTGTTAATTCCTGTAAAGCAGGTCCCTAAGTTCAACGTTGTGCAGAAACTTTTGGGTCCACGTGGCAAGTGTCTGAAAGCTTTCAGGAAGAAACTTTCATAAACCACAGTGGGATATTACTGAACTCCAGTGAGAATAGCCTTTATCAAAAAGTCCCAAAACAATAAATGTTGGCGTGGATGTGGAAATATAGGAACACCTATACACTGCTGGTGGGACTGAAAACTAGTACAACCTCTGTGGAAAGTAATATGGATATACCTCAGAGAGCTACAAGTAGAACTACCATTTGATCCAGCAATCCCATTGCTGGGCATCTACCCAAAGGTAAAAAGACACTCTATAAAAAAGACATCTGTACTCCAGTGTTTATAGCAGCACAATTCACAATTGCAAAGATGTGGAAACAACCCAAGTGCCCATCAATTCATGAGTGGATTAATAAAATGTGGTATATTTATACCATGGAGTACTATTCAGCTCTAAGAAACAACAGTGTTGTAGCACATCTTGTATTTTCCTGGATAGAGCTAGAACCCATTCTACTAAGTGAAGTATCACAAGAATGGAAAAACAAGTATCACGTGTACTCACCATCAAATTGGTTTTAACTGATCAACACTCACGTGCACATATACTAATAACATTCATTGGATGTCAGGCAGGTGGAAGTGGGGAAGAGTAGATGCATATATTCACACCTAATGGGTATGGTGTGCACTGTCTGAGGGATGGACAGGCTTGAAGCTCTGACTTTGGTGGGGCAAAGTCAATATATGTAACCTAAACATTTTTACCCCTGTAATATGCTGAAAAAAATTTTTTTAGTCCTGTTTCAAATAAAAAAAGAAGAAACCTTGACAAAAACGTCCATCCCTGGGAGAGTTTTGGTGAGAGAACAATTAAGGAAAAATGGAGAAGCAAAGTACTTCCACCTCCAGGATCATCTTGTTCTCACTGAATTGTTTTTGTGACTTGCAGTGGCTTATGCCTGGATGGGGCATGTTTTGAGAGAAATCAAAAAGTTCATATTCCTGACTATAATGATGAGATCAGGCAACCATAGCTCTAGGAATGAACATGTTGGAATGGTGATGCCGAAAATGCAAATACTCCAATGGTTCAAGGGAAACCTACTTCATATACAAGAGGTCTACCAACCCCAGACTAACCAGGGAAAGGGCAGAAGTCACAGCCCAGCCTGTTGGAGTTGGTGTACCAAAAGTGATGCCAACTCCTAGGAGAATCCTTTCCACCCCTGGGCCAGTGAGTCAGGTTAGAGGACTTCTCACTCCCAGAGCAAGAGGAGTCCCCCCAACTAGGTCCAGACCTCCACCACCACCAGCCTGAAATAGGAGGAAATATGGACAGTATGACTATGATAATGAATATGGCACTGCTTATGATGAAGAGTTATGATTCCTTTGATAGTAGTTATAGCTCTACAGCCCAAACTAATGCTATTATAATTACTATGATTGTGGACAGACTCAGTGAGGTAACTTACAATTCCTACGGGCAGGAGGACTGAAGTGACCCAAGGCACCTTCAGTGAGAACACAGCCAAATGCAGGTGATGCAGGTGTAGAAAAAACAGGCTTTGCCAGATACTGATTGTAATGTCTGATGTTGTGAAATAGCAAAAAAAAAAAAAAAAAAAAAAAAAAATCCATCTTTCCTCATTAGCTTAAAATCCCATGTTATCTTGCCTTAAATTCATTGGTATTTTTCTTTATTTCTGGCTTTTCATTCTGTTCCATTGAAAGATCTGCTTCTGGCAGAACTACTCCACTATTTTAACTTCTTTAATTATAACATTTATTGCATTATTCATTATACTTCCGAAGTTCCCCTCCATATTGCTACCTAGGATTCCCTTGGCAATGTTTGCCTCTACATTATTTGATCATTATGCCAAGTTAAAAAGAAATCTTAGTGAGATTTTGAAAATAACTGGGATAAAAGAATTAATTTTAACTGAGAATCAATCTCTTGAATCAGTCTATCCAGATAAAAGCTATGCCTATAAATTTCAGACTTTTTTTTATGACCCTTATTAGTTTTTGGCACTTTTCCCCCTTTTGTACATACTGCACATTTCTTGATATATTTGTATTTGAACTTTTGCAGTTTTTTGTTATGATGGTATATATTTATATTTCCATTATAATTTATAGAAGATTAGTTTTAATATTTGTGTTTTTATCTAACAATCTGAGTGAAGAACTTTTTAAAGCTATAATTTTGTAAGAGGAAAAGGAGTTAACAGTTTCTAGCAAGGACTTACAGAAGGCACAAATTTCACCAGAAAGATTTAATATTGAATAATTGTATGATGAAGATGAAAGAAAGCCAAGGTAAAATAGGACAAGATGGGCTGTTTTTATTGAAGGCTACTATAATGTTAAAAATGTATGATTATAGGCCAGGTACAGTCTATAATCCTAGCACTTGAGGAGGCTGAAGTGGAGGACTGCTTGAGGCCAGGAGTTAAAGACTAGCCTTCCATTATGTAGTGTTATGAGGTATGTAAAAATAAGGAGTAGTCTTAAATGTGAAACATAGTTTATGAACTTTAACACTATTGACATATTGGGTCAAATAAGTCTTTCTTGATTTATTAGGGAGGAAGGCTGTCTTGTGTATGGTAGGATGTTTAGCTCTACCCACTAGATACCAGTAGCATTCTCACTTATGACAATCAAAAATGTCTCTGAAAATTGCCAGAAGTCCCCTGGAGAGCAAAATTGCCCCCTTTCCCTCACTCATTAAGAATCAATGCTGTAAGATACAAAGGATATCCAGAAAGTGTCCAGACACTGTGATATAATTTTTCATATTATGTGGCTGGATACTTCCCGGACAGCTCTCATATGCATCTCTAGAACCCAAAGAGGCCTACCACTTGCTATGGTTCCTTTTTGTGAAAAAGCATGTAAGATGAACCAATTCATCTTACAGTTTTGAGGGATTACAGTGACATGCCCCAACCACAAGATCATTAAAACCTTCACTGAAGTGGCAGTTTGTGTGTCTTACCAAGGCCTCCATCACTGTAACCAATTAGTGTTCATACTATTCAATCAGCATTATGTCCTAAAAATAAGACACCAGTGTGATGTTCTGGGATGTTCGCATGGTCAAGATATTTTCAGATTATGATATTACTGATGACAAAAAAGTTAATATAACCATGAGGCAAAACTATAAGGGTAAGAATAATTTGTCTCTACCATGTGAATTTGAACTGCCTCTGGTCCTCTGTTGTAATTATAATAGAAAGGAATACATTTGTCAAATCAGTGGCAACATACCATGAACCTGAGGCCTTATTAATAATGTTCTGGCTGTAATGCCACATTTGTTGCAGTCTTCTACATGTGGCTATCCAATTTGCCCAGCACTGTTTTTTGTATAGAGATTCTTTTCCTCAGTGTATTCTTTTCTCTGCTTTCTCAAAAATCAGATGGCTATACGAAGAAAGTTTTATATCTGTATTCTCAGTTCTGTTCATTGGTCTATATATCTGTTCTTGTGCTAATACTATACTGTTTGAGTTACTATAGCCTTGTAGTCTAGCTTGAATTCTGGTAAATTGATGCCTCCCAATTTGTTCTTTTTGCTTAAGGTTGCTTTGGCTATATGGGGTTTTCTCTGGTTCCATATGAAACTTAGAATTATTTTTTCTAGATCTGCGAAAAATGATGTTGATATTTTAATAGGGATTGCATTGAATCTATAGATTACTTTGGGTAATACAGACATTTTAACATTGTTGGTTCTGCCGATCCATGAGCATGGAATGGTTTTCTGTCTCTCTTTGTCCTCCGATATTTCCTTCCTCTGTGTTTCATAGTACAGTTACATATATTCCTAGGTATGTTATTTTCTTTTAGTATGTTATTTTCTTACAGTATAGTTACATATATTCCTAGGTATGTTATTTTCTTTTAGTATGTTATTTTCTTACAGTATAGTTACATATATTCCTAGGTATATTATTTTCTTTTTTGCTATTGTGAAAGGTATTGAGTCTTTGATTTGGTTCTCAATTTGACTGTCATTGGTGTATATGAATGCTAGTGATTTGAGTATAGTGATTTTGTTTTATGACACTTTCCTGAGTGTATTTATCAATTTCAGTATTGTCTTGGCATAATCTTTGGGGTTTTATAGATATAAGTCATATCTTCAGCAAAGAGTGATAGTTTGATGTCTTCTTCCTCATTTGGATGCCCAAGATTCCTTCTCTTGTCTCA